TACCAACTCAGGATTATCACATCTTCCACAGGCCCCTGGAGATACCATTAGAGCCCACATTTCAAAATTTCATATTAATCACGTACAGAAAAGAGAGGTAAGGTACGATTTTCCCACGGCCCCAGGAACTACCCTAGCTGCCCTGCCCACGGGATGAGCCTGGTGGGAAGGGTGCCACTTGTTCCTAACCCAAAGCCTTCAAAGGGGGCTTCACTGAGCCAACTCTGCTCCATGTGAATATGTTCCTGCAGGTAGACTGCACAGTGGACTGGCTCCCAAGGGAGCAAAGGGAACTCCCAGCAGCAGACGGGACTGTGAGGTCTGGGGACACTGCTACACCCTCTCAACAGTGCGTTGAAGCTGCATGAACCCCAGACACCAGATGTGGGACCTATTGTAGAATACTGGCTTAGGGTTTATCTTTTACCTTTATTATTTATTTGACTGACTGATTAACTGACAGGGTCTCGCTCTGTCACCGGGGCTGGAGTGCAGTGGTACAATCATGGCTCACTGCAGCCTCATTCTCCTGGGCTTCAGTGATCCTCTCACCTCAGCCTCCCGAGTAGCTGGAACTACAAGTGCACACCACCACATCCAGCTAATTTTTATATTTTTGGTAGAGACAGGGTCTCAGTATGTTGGCCAGGCTGGTCTCAAACTCCTGAGCTCAAGCGATCCTCCCACCTCGGCCTCCCAGAGTGTTGTGATTATAGGCACGAACCACTGCACCCAGCCTACGGTCTTTTAAAAAGGAATCCTGGGAGTCTCTCTCAGAACCTAGTCTGGTTCCAGGGGCTGCCCAATAAAAAATAAAGAAAAGAAAAAAAATTCCTCCTCAAATGCAGTCTTCCACAGCCTGAATCCCTCAGGAGAACGAGATGGAGGATATAATATAAGGGGTAAATGACGGGGGAGGGGCAGGCACCCAAAGGACAGGCCCCAGCCCATGACCCAGAAGTTACATCCAGAGGGAGCCAGCAAGGGAAGATAAACACCAGCCAGGCCCACAGCTCGCAAAGCCAGCTTCCAACCGTGCTAGTCAGGTGACAACTTTCCCTGCCCCTGTCCTCTCCTTCCTGCAGCTGGTGATTAGGGAGAAAAGCCAGCACCCTGCTCCTGACCACAGGTCACTGCCTGCAGGGAAAGGGGCGAGGAGTCTGCCTTTTGAATGAGGAACAGCGCACTGATCAGTACGTTATCCTGAATCCTTTTTCTGTTTGTTTGTTTTTGAGACAGGATCTTGCTCTGTAGCCCAGGCTGGAATGCGTGGCACCATCTTGGCTCATGCAACCTCCACCTCCCGGGTTCAAGAGATGAATCCTTTTTAATTCCTTAATTCAGACTGTGTGTGTCCCTCCAAGCGTCATTATGACTTTCTCTGTTATGTAAGGGTGGCTGGAGAAGTCCAAGGAAAGAACTCCCGCCCTGGGCAGGAGGAAAAGTGGTAGAGAAAAATCCACTTGCTTTTGTGATTATACCCTTTGAGTCCAATGGGTTCAACATGTTAGTTATGCACATAAACTCAGTTCTCTTAAAGGCTCCTTCCAGTTCTAATAACCCATGACTTCTGAGTACAAGTGAGTATTTAGTTAGCAAACACTTCAATTGCACCTGCTATGTGCCAGGTACCAGTCAAAGCACTTCATCAATAACTCACTTTACCCTCATAAAAGCCCTATGAGTCGCATTTCTATTTTACTTATGAAGCACCTGAGGCACATGGAGGTTAAGTAATGTGCCCAAGGTCACACAGCTAGCAAGTGGTTGGGCCAGGATTTGAACCAACGATGTTTGCAGCCTGACAAGAACAGAGTTCCCATCCTGAGTTCCCCTCCTAGGTATCTACCCAAGAGGCCAGAAAACACATGTTCACATAAGCTTTGTATGCAAATATTCACAGCAGCATTATACACAGTGGCCAAAAAGTGGAAACAATCCCAAATGACTTAACTGGTAAAGGGCCGAACAAAACGTGGTTCTCCACACAATGGAACGCTATTCGGCCTTGAAGAACAACGAAGTACCCATACATACCACTGCATGGAGGAACTGCAAAAACATGACTCCGAGTACAAGAAGGTAGATGCAAAACCCCACATCCATGCGTATGAATATCCACAACAGGCCAAGCCCCACAAACACAACAAAGTAGAAAAGTGATGAGCTGGGGCTGGGGTGGGAATGGGGATTGAATTCCAAGGGGCACAGGGGTCTGCTAGGTTCAGACCCTGGATCATGGTGATGGCCGAGCAACTCAGGGAACTTACTGAAAACCAATGAATCGGGCACTTCTAATGGGTGCTTTGATGATATGTCAGCTATACCTTGATAAGGCTATTAAAAAAAAAAAAAAAAGACAAGGCAGGGCCGACCCTGGCTACAACGGCCCTTCCTCCTGTTCTCGCAGGTTCCCATGTGTGGGGTAAACCCTTCAGAAGAACACAGGAGGGGAGGGCTCCAGGCCAGGAAGTTGCCTGAAACCCTCTGGCTCTCCTGCCAGGCTGAGCAACCACCGGTCTGGACTTCTGCACCAGCCAGCTACAGAACTGCTCTGTTTTGCAAAGAGCAATTATATGCGGGGGAATTTCCTAATCAAAACGAGACCCCTTCTTCATTATCCCCCAACATCCCTGCATTCTTTTGGAATGTAAAATCTGTGCCTCCCCAAGCCAATTACTTGGGAAATGTGATATGCAAGGATGAATTATGCATGTGTTTTCTTTGTGAGTTTTTTTTCCTCCTCAGGGATGCTAATTATGAGATAAATTGTTGGGGGTTTTGTGTCTTGAAATAACTCCTTGTCATATCAGAGCCCCTCTTGCTATGTATTGCTAAGCTAATTGGTGGCTTCCAAAGAGGAGGATACAAGTCATTTTCAATTAGGGTAGTAAAATGCTAAAAGAAAATAAAGTGCTAGTCATACATACATATTCATATACACATATTGATAGATGTATATTTACACCAGAAACAATGAATGAAAATTCAACGTACTCTTTCTTTGGGAGATTCCGATAGTGTCCCTGGTAAAATATTTTCCCGTTTTCAGGCACACGTGCTTACTTCTCCTTGTGTTACAAGTGAGAAGTCATTTTGTGATGCATTAAAATTCTTCTTAGATGGTGAATGTGTCTCCACTGTGGGTGTCCAGTGGCTGACAAGCAACAACCGTCTCGTTGACAAAAAATCTTTCAAAGCTGAGACATTATTCACCAAAAGTAAGACCCAAGCTGTGTACTCTAAGCTTTGGTGACTGCAGAGATAGAGAACAGTCACCCATCTTTTATAGCTCATTTCTGAGCTATATTATTGTAAGAGCTGTTTCTTTTTTCTTTTCTTTTGTTTTTTTGAAACAGAGTCTCGCTCTATCATCCAGGCTGGAGTGCAGTGGCACAATCACAGCTCACTGCAGCCTCGACCTCCTGGACTCGAGCACCTCAGCCTCCTTAGTAGCTGGGAACACAGGCACACACACAGCTAGTCATAATAATTATTATATAACATGCATATTATTACATAATATACATATATAACATATGTACATCATATGTAATATGTGATATATAATATACATCTACCCATCTTTTGAATGACAAAGAAGAAAGTAGGGCAATCTTGTTGCCACAAGTAGCTGGCTAAGTGCATTGCTATGAAAAAGTTACAAGTTATATATAATACAGAATTATTATTATTTCTTTTTTGTAGAGATGGGGTTTGCCCAGGCTGGTCTTGAACTCCTGAGCTCAAGAGAGATCCTCCTGCCTCAGTCTCACAAAGTGCCCAGCCTATGAAAGCCATATCAGAAATTTTTTTTAAGAAATGGGGTCTCACTATGCTGACCAGGCAGGTCTTGCACTCCTGGCTTCAAGTGATCCTCCCATCTTGGCCTCTTACATTAAGTGCTGAGATTACAGGTGCAAGCCACTGCGCCAGGCCCCAGCTGTTTCATAATTCTATCAAGCAAGATCTTTGTGATCTTTATGTTACTCCTTGGGGGACTATAAACCTTTGCTTAATCAAAACTCAGAACTTCTTTCCAAGGATCAAAGTTCTTGTTATTAGTTAGGTTTCAGCAGGAATTTCCAAAAGCCAAGGGAGCTTCTGACCATCACTCTACTTACTGGTCTTGCAACTGTGAAACTAGTTGATAATTTTACACCACCCTTTGAACCCAGCCCCTGTCGATGCTCAACTTTCTCCATCATCGACACATGGGCAAGAAAATCCAATTCCTCAAAATCACTTAGAATACCATATTCCCCTGGAAAAATAGCCTCTCTGGGAAACACAATCATATCAAAAACACAAGGTACCAGAATTCACTGTGGTAACAGGCTATTTTTATGACAGACCAATAAAATGTCTTAATCAGTTGTCTGAGGAATATTGTTACTCAGCATTACCCATGATTTCAAATTATGGGCTATTAACTTTAAAGAGATGTGCTGCCATCTTGCTGGTTGGTTGAGGGACCTTCAGAAAACCTAAGCAGAGGCCAGGCACAGTGGCTCTCACACGTGTAATTTCAGCACTTGGGGAGGCCAAGGTCAGGGAATCACTTGAGGTCAGAAGATCTAGATCAGCCCCTGGCCAACATGGTGAAACCCCATCTCTATTACAATTACAAAAATTAGCCAGGTATGGTTGTGGCACGCCTATAATCCCAGCTACTCGGGAGGCTGAGGCATGTGAATCACTTGAACCCGGGAAGTGGAGGTTGCAGTGAGTTGAGATCACGCCACTGCACTACAGCCTAGACGACAGAACGAGACTCTGTTTCAAAGAAAAAAAAAAAAAAAAAACCTTTGCAGAGCACTACATCTACCCAACTTTTGGATAACAATTTGAAGTTGGGGATGATACACTGTCCACTTCAATTATCAATTGCTCGCTGTGCTCCAAGAAGGCGCTCAGTAAGTAACTGCTGAACAGTCGCAGCTTGTACAGAAAGCCTAACTCTGGGATGGGCACCCCGTACCAAGCTCTGGTCCACTCACCAGTAAAAGTCTCTGTGCAGGGGTTTACACCCGCAAGGCGTTTCGAGGTCCCAAAATCAGAGATTTTCACCACTCCGCTGTAGGTGTTCACCAGAACATTATCGCCCCTTTGGAAAAGAACATCATCGAGCGCTTAAAAGACAGGTTGAAACAAACTCATATGAAACAGATATATGGACCTTGAGAACTGTCACAAGTCTCTAGGAAAACCAAACTTTGCATTTTGGGGATGATTATGCCTCAATCATACACCTTTGTCAGCCAGTCACTCAGCAGACATCACCCACAGCTCTCACGATCTGATACAAGCAAAGGCAACTTCATCGGCTTAGAAAAGCAAATACCTTTATGTCTCTGTGCACGATCTGGTTTTCATGGAGATACTTAAGGCCCTCCAGGATCTGTTTGGTGTAAAACTTGATCGTTGGTTCCTTCATCGGCCCCCATTTGGATCGCAAAAGAGCAGAAAGGCTTCCTAGAGACAGCCACAGCAAAAGCTTATCAGGATGAGAAAGATTCAATGATAAGAATTCAGGGAAATGAGGTCGGCATGGGTGGCTCACGCCTGTATCCCAGCACTTTGGGAGGCCAAGGCAGGCAGATCACGAGGTCAAGATATCGAGACCATCCTGGGCAACACGGTGAAACCCTGTCTCTATTTAAAAAATACAAAAATTAGCTGGATGTGGTGGCACATGCTTGTAGTCCCAGCTACTCAGGAGGCTGAGGCAGGAGAATTACTTGAATCCAGGAAGTGGAGGTTGCAGTGAACTGAGATCGCGCCATTGCACTCCAGCCAGGCACCTAGCGACAGAGCAAGACGCTGCCTCAAAAAAAATAATAATAAATAAGAATTCAGGGAAATGAAGTGAGGTGAGGTTTCTAACCTAACACAAGTGTTTAAACCAAGACCATCAGATCTGGGCTAAATGTAGTGTATTTCCTCCCTCTATAGCTACAGCCAGGGAATGAACTGAAAGCGATTCAGAACATGAACCTGACCAGAGGCAGAGGGTGAACACGAACCCCTTGTGCCCCCTGAAATTCAGTGGGGGCCAACTGTGGGTTTAGCTCTGTTCAGCTGCATGAAGTTAGGAAAGCAAAACAATGCTCTCTAAACTCGAGGGTCACAGCCTGCTGGCGCAGATAACGCAGGTCCCATGACACTTGTTTACAGGAGGTCTGTCTCAGCCATTCTGCTTGGGTCAAAGCCACGTTTACATCTTGCCTGGAATCAGAGGTAGACAGGTCCAGAGTGAGGGGCCCTTTAGGGTAACAAGAACTAGGAATGGAGGAAGATGGGCTTCTCTGTCCTCAGTGTGAGAAAGCCACAGAGGCAGGTCACAGGGCGGGACTGTCTTAATTAACAACCACTTACGCTATTAAACACTGAACATTTGGGCCAAAGACAAGCTCCCTTCAGGATACTTGGACCACATGTCTCAAAGGACAACATGTGAGCTGCAGGACGTCCTGTCCACTGGCAGGAACGGGCCCTCAGACATCGGCTGGTCTCAGCTTCCCACTTACCCAATGTTATAGGACCTTGATCTACCTTGGTTTCTCCATCTGTAAAAGGGGATGAACACATCTGTCTCTAATTCTGTTGATACCCTTAAACCTAACACCTGGGATGAGGTATCAACTAATGAGAAGAGTAATGGGCCACATGCAGTGGCTCATGCCTGTAATCCCAGAACTTTGGGAGGCCAAGGCAGGCAGATCACCTGAGCTCAGGCATTCAAGACCAGCCTGGTCAACATGGCAAACCCTGATCTCTATTAAAAATATGAAAATTAGCCAGGCATAGTGGTAGGTACCTGTAATCCCAACTACTGGGAGGCTGAGGCAGGGAGAATTGCTTGAACCCGGGAGGCAGAGGGTGCAGTGAGCCAGTATCATGCCACTGCACTCCAGCCTTGGACTCAAAAAAAAAAAAAAAAAAAAAAGCAATGGACGAGTTTTCTGCTAGACTATGAGCAACTTAAGGAGAAAAGAAACTACTTTATTTATCCCTGAAAATCTAACCCACTGCCTGCCTTTTTTTTGTTTGTTTTTGAAGACAGGGTCTCACTGTGTCACCCAGGCTGGAGTGCAGTGGTGCGATCTTGGCTCACTGCAACCTCCACCTCCTGGGTTCAAGCAATTCTGGTGCCTCAGCCTCCCGAGTAGCAGGGACTACAGGCGCACACCACCCACCTGGCTAATTTTTTGTACTTTTAGTAGAAAGGGGGTTTCACCATGTTGGCCAGGCTGGTCTTGAACTTCTGGCCTCAAGTGATCACCCGCCTTGGCATCCCAAAGTGCTGGGATTTTGAGTATGAGCCACTGCACCTGACTGACTGCTTGGCTCTTAATGAATATACTTAAGACTCTTCCTGTAATAGTAGACTCTTAATAACTGTCGGCTGAATGAATGCAGATTTCCAACTCAAGTTTTAACATCTGTATTCAGATAATAACTATCATTATTTAATTAAAGAGTTTGATTGATTTTATTATTTCAATGAGCACTTACTAAGCTCTTGTTCTCTGCCAGGCAGAATCCACCCAACAGTCCACTGAGACAGGGCTAATGTTATCCCAGTCATTATTACTCCAATTATTAGTCATTATTACTCCAATTTGACCATTCATTTATTCCAACAGAACACTGAGGGCACAGAGAGGTGAAAATCTTCCTGAGGTCACACAGCCTGTGGATGGAGGAACTGATTCAAACTAGATGGTCTGGCTCCAGATCCCAGGAACACCCCTCCGGTGCCCTAGCTCTTGCATTCAGGGATTTTTGTGGATAAAACACTGGTGCTTGATTTCATTATCAAAAAGCTATTTTGCATTGTCGCTTTAAAACTAATGTTCCCTCTTCTGCACCCTTTTCCAAACTCATCTTTAAACTCCTCGACTATGAAGGCCTCAAGGCCAAAGACTATGTTTTCTCCGTAGACAGTCAATGAATATTTGTGGGTTGAACAAACCGCATCAAGAAACCAGAAATAGACTGCTTATATGACATTTGGAAAGTATCCAACTTTCCAACATCTAAAAGGTCTGTTGCTTTTTGTTTTGTTGTTTTTAGAGCGATGGGCTTTTGCTCTGTCACCCAGGCTGGAATGCAATGCTGTGATTACGGCTCACTGCAGCCTTGACCTCGTGGGCTCAAGTGATCCTCCCAACTCGGCCTCCCAAGTAGCTGGGACTACAGGCGCCCTCCAGGCCTGGCTTAGGGGTCTGTCGTTTTGTAAATGGTGGACAACAAATGCTATCCATGTTGTGATTTTCAGAATGTGAGATGAGAACACAGCGACTACTCACCTCCAGGCACCTGCTCCATAAATATCTTAATGTAGCCGTTCTCTGAAACAGAGCCCAGGTACTGAACGATATTGCGGTGCTTAAGGTACTTGTGCAGGGCTATCTCCTCGTGCAGAGGCTGAGAATATCTATTGGGAAAAGCAGAGCCAGGGTCACATGTCAAATCCCAGGGCCCCAGACCCCCATCTCACCTCACCAGTACCTGCCCCACTGCTGCCATCCCTCCTTTCTGGAAACTCTCTCTTCTGGCTTCCATGAGACCACTCAACTTCCCATGTGTATGACAGTGGATAGACAAGCCTACAGCCATGCAGGACTGCCAGGGGAAGGCATGTCCATTTCCTTAAGCACTCAGTGGAGTAGCTGGTATGTGGTGAATATTCAATGAATGACTGCTATTGTTACTACTGTTATTGTTAGGGCCTGAACCTACCAAACATTCTTTACTTCTCTCAGCAGCCCCTCTTCCTCTGCCTCCCATGAAGGGTGGTGTTCTAGAAGGTTCTGTCCTCAGCTGCCCTCTAGTCTGATTCTACAGAGTCGCTCCAGACCACAACAGCAGCCACCTCATGGGTCACCCAGCCCCAGCGTCTGGCCTTTTTAATCCATTCCCTACCCTTGGCCATTATAGTACCTCTTCTTAAAACACTTCACCACATCACTTCCCCACATAATTCCACATCAAGACCATTCTATTTAATGTCATATACAAGGACTTTCAAAGATCAGTTCAGGCTAAGCCTTAAAAATTTTTTTTTTTTTACCCTCATTTCAAGAGCATTTCACTGCTCTGCAGCCTCCATTCAAGTCATATCAGACAATCTGTTGTTCTCTGAATAAACTTTGTGTTTTAACAACTATTTTTCCAACAGCACTGGCCTCCTTTTCTGCTAAACAAACTCCTACTCATTCCTCAAAGGCCAGCTCAAAGTTGATCTATTTTTTTCAAACTTGCCACAACTCACTAAGGAGAGTAATTCATTCCTCTTCTGTGTTCTAAAAAACACTCTGTGAACTCCTCTATCATGGCACTTGTCACTTTCACTCACAGGCAAAGTATCTGCATTTCCTGCCAAACCAGCAGCATCCTGAGACACTATCCTAGTCATCCAACAGGATGCCATTCTAGTCACCTTTTGGTCCCCAGTGCCAGCCCAGAGTCTGACACAGAGAAGGTAGCAATCATCATAAGTTCAGCCTATTGCTACCAATTGAAGGAGATGGTACATGCCAGCAATTTCCCCAAATATATACAAATGCAACCCTTTATCCATCATGAGGGAAGAGACTAGATGCTGGATGAGGAACTCAAGAGACTTGGATCCTAGTCTTGTTTCTAAGCATTTTTGGGAAAGTCATTTAATCTCCTCAGTCTTGATTTCTTATTGGTGAAATGAAGAAATGGAAATAGTTCATTTCAGGTCCTGTCTCATAATTCATGTATCATAACATGCTATCCCACTGAAAATCAACAAATACATGAATGGATGAATGACGGGTCTTACAGCTGGCAGAAATCCCTTGAAACTCATCCCCAATATATCAGCGATCACCCAGATAAAGGGGTATTTACACATATTCCTCAGCACTCAGCACTGAAGGCAACTGTACAGCTGTGGTCTGACCCACCTATGGACCACAGGATGGTTAATTCCAACTGTGTATGTAGCTTCTCTACAGAAACACTTGGCAGTCAATATTGCAATGCTCATTTATAATTCTGTGGGGGTGTAAGTTTAAAAAGAATGAACTTTTTTTTTTTTTTGAGACAGGGTCTCACTCTGTCACCCAGGCTGGAGTGCAGTCACGCAATCTTGACTCACCGCAGCCTCCATCTCCCAGGTTCAAATGATTCTCATGTCTCAGCCTCCTGACTAGCTGGAACTACAGGCGTGCGCCACCATGCCTAGCTAAGTTTTGTATTTTTAGTAGAGGTGGGGTTTCACCATGTTCCCCAGGCTGGTCTCGAACTCTTGACCTCAAGCAATCTGCCTGCCTCAGCCTCCCAAAGTACGGGATTACAGGTGTGATCCACTGTGGCCGGCTAGAAACAAACATTTTTAAAAACTAAAAAAAAGTCAAGAACTAAATTAGCAGTACTGATGATAGAAAAATAGTCCAAAATCCATGGGCGAGGTTGAAGGGTAGGATGCTGAAAAAGTCTGTACTGCAAAAATCTGATTTTTGTTTAACTGCATGTAATTTTCCACAATGATGCATCTGAACAAATCATAGCCATTTTCAACTGTTACAATGTGAATTTAAAATAACTCGTTCACATTTAAAAATTATATTGCACTCAAACATTAGCCAGGCTTGGTGACGTGCATCTATAGTCCCAGCTCCTCGGGCAGTGGAGGTGGAAAGATCGCTTGAGCCCGGGAGGTGGAGAATGCAGTGAGCCAAGATCCGCCACTGCACTCCTTCCTGAGTGACGAGTGAGAGCTCGTCTCAAAAATACATATAAATCATACTTGTAAACAACTAACTATGCAAAAACTGTAAAACTTTAGCCCTAGTCAATGGGTGGAAACACAATGAAAGTTTACTTTTAAAATATAATCCTCTGCAATCCACATGCCTCTTAGGTGAAGTTGTTCCATTTTCTCAATCTGTAATACAATAAAAAAAAAAAGCAGATCGCCCTGGCTGGGCACAGTGGCTCACACCTGTAATCCCAGCACTTTGGTAGGCTGAGGCGGGTGGATCAGTTGCGGTCAGGAGTTTGAGACTAACCTGACCAACACAGTGAAACCCCATCTCTACTAAAAATACAAAAAATCAGCCAGGCGTGGTGTAATCCCAGCTATAGGTTGAGCCATGAGAATCGTTTGAACCTGGGAGGCAGAGATTGCAGTGAGCAGAGATTATGCCACTGCACTCCAGCCTAGGCAATACGGCGAGACTCTGTTCCACAAAAAAAAAAAAAAAAAAAAAGCAAACCACCCTATTACAAGAGAATGACAGGTTTTGTGATAACATAATGCTTTCATCCTTAACTCCTCCACACCATCGGCGGTGGGTGTGGAATCTGGTGCGTAGAGATGGCACTCGAAAAGTGGAAGGCCCGCCTGGACTTGCCTGCTGTCTTTCTCCGGACTTCTTTGATGGCTATTCGCACTTGATTGCTCAGATCTCGGCCAGCATACACAATCCCATACGTGCCTTTCCCCAACACAACTCTCTCACCATTGGCATCATGGTCGTACTCATACTGAAGAAGAAAAACAACAGGACAAAAGAGCACGCACTTGCAGTGGAGAAGCCCTCCAAGGGCCTCAGAGTTGTCTAGCAACTAAACAAATATCAATAACATTAATTGAGTGCCCGGCAAGTCACATGTGCTTAGCCTAGGTGCTTTTCATTAAATGACTTTAAAGGGGTAGAATTCTCCATTGTTCACATGTTCATGGTATGACTTTATGAAATGAAATCCAAGAAAATTAAAATACAGTTTGAACATAAATGGCTCACTTTTGGAAATTCCTTTCCATTTTAATGGTGCAATTTAAAACTGCTTCTAAGCACAGTGAATACCCAAAAGAGGTGTCTTCCTGCAGAATCCCTTATCAACTTGTCAGGAAACAAATCTCTGTCACTAGCCAGAAAGGAATTAAAGGTCAATATAATTAAAGTTACCTTAATACAAAAAGTAAATATGCTGGGGTTTCCCCACTCTTTCAGGCATCTGGATCTAGCGGTAACACCTAGTGCAAACACTTGATTTAAAATTAGCATTACTATTTGTTTCCCCATCTTACCATCAAAAGCTGTCACATACAGATGCATTGATTCTTTTCAATGACTAAAACAAATGTGACTATAGGCTGAGCAACACTTATTTAAAGCAGAAAAGGCAGCAATCAATTCTTTCTGTTATTTTGCACGCTCCACTGCGTCTACTTACAGAAGTGCAGTTTATACTCGGAATAGTCGGGGGTATGTGGGTATCCTTTCCCATCTACTTCTGGGATGCTCATGACAATTAAGAGTCCTTAAAGGGTTGGCCAGGCACAGTGGCTCACACCTGTAATCCTAGCACTTTGAGAGGCTGAGGTGGGAGAATCACCTAGGTCAGGAGTTCAAGACCAGCCTGGCCAACATGGCAAAACCCCGTCTCGACTAAAAATACAAAAATTAGGCCAGACACAGTGACTCACGCCTGTAATCCCAGCACTTTGGGAGGCCAAGGAGGGTGAATCACCTGAGGTCAGGAGTTCAAGACCAGCCTGGCCAACATAGAGAAACCCTATCTCTACTAAAAATATTTTTAAAAAGTTAGCCAGGTGTGGTGGCATACGCCTGTGGTTCCAGCTACTCAGGAGGCTGAGACAGGAGAATCACTTGAACCCAGGAGGTGGACATTGCAGTGAGCCAAGACCATACTACTGCACTCCAGCCTGGGTGACAGAGCAAGACTCTGTCTCTAAATAAACGAATAAATAAAATATAAAAATGAGCCAGGCATGATAGCACATGCCTGTAGTCCCAGCTACATGGGAGGCCAAAGCAGGAGAATTGCTTGAACCCAGGAGGCGGAGGGTGCAGTGAGCCGAGATTGCACCACTGCACTCCACTCCAGCCTGGACGACAGAGCAAGACTCTGTCTTAAAAAAAAATTTATATTACTAAAGCACCTTCATCACTGTCTGATGTAATTAGCAATCAGCCTGCTCCATAGAAGACATTTATCTCACACTTTGCTCCATTTCCCGCACCTGCTGTCCTCAAAGCACCATTGTTCAGTTCATTTCTATGACAAACTTTGGTCCTGACCTAAGAATTCTAGTAGTTAACTCAATTATTAAAATGAATCCTTTGATATTTTCTGAAAGAAACCTTAAGGAATTCCTTTCGCTCTAACCTGAAAGTACAGTAAAATCTCATTAAATTGTAATCACTGGAAGAATCTGATGGCAAATCTGAATAACTCTTCAAGATTTAAACACACGTACAATGGTTCGATAACTTCAGACTATAATTGTGCTGCCAAAAGAGCTTATGGTGAGTCTACTTTTGAAAATAACTTAGTTGTTATATTTAATATACTATATGCACGTAGCTATAACTAAAGTCATTTTAGGCATAAATGACGAAGTCTGCTTCCAGTTGGCTAATTCTCTTGTAGTCTCATCAACATCACTAATTAGCTTAGAGAAAACTTCCGTAGGTTGTACACAAAAGGAAATTTAGTAGTCCGTGACCAAATTTTTCTTAAGCATTCTAAATGAGAGAATCCTAAACTAATGAGATTCTTCTATGGAAACACATGAAACCTTATCTCTGAGAGCCATGCAGTGATGGCTGGCTGGTTCATAAAACATACTCAACAGGATCCTCAGAGAAAGACGGGACATTTTCTTGAAGCATCAAGAAACACAATCAATCATGTTTTCCATATTCTATATCACCCATGACTCACCTCCAAGGTGTCTCCGTCGGTCTCTCCCTCCGGCTCCACTGTACTGCCCACTGTATTGGTTATCATTGCTTTGACCAAAGAGAAAAATCTAGAATAGCAAATGTCACAAATATGTTGCCAAATCAGGACTGCTCTTGTTCCTTGTTTCTTACTTAGCTTTATTAAACTGTACTTAAATATAAACCAAATTTTTACAAGTCCATGAAACAATCGATCCCCTCCCTTGATTTGACATGTACTCTAGTGGTTATCAAATCTAGGGCAACTACTGATGTGACACCTGAATCCCCTCTATACAGTATCTCCACCAACTGGTTGGCCAATTGCTACCTGAGTACCTCCAGCACAGAGAACTGATTATCTCCCAAAGACAGCTCATTCTTGAAAGATCTTAATGAGAAATGTTTCCCTTTTATTGAACCAAAGACTTCTTTTATGTGGGTTCCATCCACAGCTTGCTTAGAAATAACCACTTTTCTAGACAACAAAATTATGAGAAATGCTCATAATTTTATCACGTCCCTTTAAGTCTTCCCTTTCTGTCCCATCACAGTTTTCCCCAGGACTTGTGAGTTACTCCACTAGCAGGTAATACTTAAAATGCTGTCCTTGTGTTATTTACTTTTTTAAAGACAGGGTCTCGCTCTGTCACCCACACTGGAGTGCAGTGGTGTGATCATGGCTCACTGCAGCCTCAACCTCCTGAGCTCAAGCTATCCTCCCACCTCAGTCTCTCAAACAGCTGAGACTACAGGCACCCATCACTGAGCCCAGCCAATTTTTGTATTTTTTGTAGAGATGGGGTCTCACTATGTTGTCTAGGTTGGTCTCAAACTCCTGGACTCAAGTGATACCCCTACCTTGGCCTCCCAAAGTGTTGGGTGGCATGACCCACCACACCCAGCCTCCTGTATTATTCTTGAAGTCTGGCTGCAAGACCAGTGTTCAAAAGTGATCTAATCAATGCTAAGGATAGTAGGACTATCACCTTCCAAGGTGTAGACAATCTAGTTCTCAGTAAGATGTTGTGTAAGGGGAAAGATGGAGGAGACGCATAAGGTGGCCACATCATTCTGCTGACACAGAGCAAGCTTAATACTGACCCATAAATCTTTCTCACAAATTCTGCTGGGCCACATGGGCCACTTCCTAGAATTGTGTACTTGTTTATTTGGATATAGTCATTTTGACTCATTAGAAAATTTTTACTCACAATTCTTTCTTAAGAAGTCGTGGATGAATACTGTATATTTCAGGATAATTTCTATAAACCATTAAAATGCTCTTTTTTTCTAGCTAACCCATTTCACCTTTTTTTAACGAGAAAAAAGAAAGAAAGGAAGAAAGAAAAAAAGAATGAAAGAGATAAAGAAAGAGGAAGAGAAATAGGGAGAGAGAACGGGAATCTTGCTCTATTGCCCAGGCTAGAATGCAGTCTAAAAATGGATATTAAAAACCTCTTTTATCCCAATAAATGTTCTTAACATGGAGACAGGAAGGAATAAGGGAGGAAAATAACAAACAAGCAGCCAACCAATATTCATTTAAACCACTGAAATGATATGCAATTGCTGAGGAGTGATTTACTTCCAATTATGTGGTCACTTTTAGAATAGGTGTGATGTGATACTGAAAAAAAATGTATGTTTTCTGGATTTGGGGTGGAGAGTTCTGTAAATGTTTATTAAGCTTACTTATTTCAGGTCTGAGTTCAAGTCCTGGATATCCTTGTTAATTTTCTGTCTGGTTGATCTGTCTAATATTGACAGTGGAGTGTTAAAGTCTCCCACTATTATTGTGTGGGAGTCTAAGTCTCTTTGTAAGTCGTTAAGAACTTGCCTTATATACCTGGGTGCTCCTGTATTGGGTACATATATATTTAGAATTGTTAGCTCTTCTTCTTGCATTGATCCTTTTACCATTATGTAATGTCCTTCTTTGTCTCTTTGGTCTTGTTGCTTTAAAGTCTATTTTATCAGAGATGAGAATTGCAACTCCTGCTTTTTTTTCTCTCTCTCCATTTGGTTGGTACTCTTCCTCCATCCCATTGTTTTGAGTCTTTGTGTAACCTTGCATGTGAGATGGTCTGGATGCAGCATACCGATGGGTTTTGGCTTTTTATCCAATTTGCCCATGTCTTTTGATTGGGGCATTTAGTCTATTTAAATTTGGGATTGATATTGATATATAAGAATTTAATACTGCCATTTAATGCTAGCTGGCTGTTTTGCCCATTAGTTGATGTAAATTCTTCATTATGGTGATGTTCTTTACCTGTTGGTATATTTTTGGAATGGCTGATGCTGGTTGTTCCTTTCTATATGTAATGCTTCTTTCAGAAGCTCTTGTAAATCAGGCCTGGTGGTGATGAAATCTCTGAGTATTTGCTTGTTTGCAAAAAATTTTATTTTTCCTTCACTTATGAAGCTTAGTTTGGCTGGATATGAAATTCTGGGTTGAAAGTTCTTTTCTTTAAGGATGTTGAATATTGGCCCCCACACTCTTCTGGCTTGTAGGGTTTCTGTTGAGAGATCTGCTGAGTCAGACAGGCTTCCCTTTGTGGGTAACCTGACCTTTTTCTCTGGCTGCCCTTAGTATTTTCTCCTTCATTTCAACCCTGGTGAATCTAACGATTATGTGTCTTGGGGTTGCTCTTCTTGAGGAATTTCTTTTGGTGTTCTCTGTATTACCTGGAGTTGAGTATTGTTCTTCCTTGCTAGGTTGGGAACATTTTCCTGGATGATATCCTGAAGAATATTTTCCAGCTTGGATTCATTCTCTTCGTCACATTCAGGTACACCTGTCAAACGTAGATTAGGTCTTTCCACATAGTCCCATATTTCTTGGAGACTTTGCTCATTCCTTTTTAGCCTTTTTTCTCTAACTGTGTCTTCTTGTTTTATTTCATTAAGTTGGTCTTCGACCTCTGATATCCTTTCTTCTGTTTGATCAATTTGACTGTTAAAACTTGTGCATACTTCGTGAAGTTCTCGTGTTGTGTTTTTCAACTCTATTAATTCACTTACATTCCTTTCTAAATTGTCTATTCTCATTAGCATTTCATCAAATCTTTTTTCAAGGTTCTTAGTTTCTTTGCATTGGGTTAGAACATGTTCTTTTAGCTCACAGAAGTTTCTTATTATCTACCTTCTGAAGCCTGAGTCTGTCAGTTCATCACACTCATTCTCCATCAGGCCTTGTTCCATTGCTGATGAGGAGCTGAGATCCCCTATAGGAGGAGAGACATTCTGATTTTGGATGTTTTCAGCCTTTTTGTGCTGGTTTTTTTCCCATCTTTGTGGATTTATCCACCTGTCATCTTTGTAATTGCTGACTTTCAGATTGGGTCTCTGAGTGGATGTCCAGCTTGTTGGGTCTCCAGTGGACATCCACAGAGCTGGACCTTCCTGGGTTCAGCTGTGCTCGCTGTGAAACTCTCAATCTTCATCACTTCCAATTGCTGGTTTTTTGTGGGGATGGGACCAGCCAAGCCTGATCACCTGGCTCCCTGTCTCAGAGCCTCTTCTTCTTTTATTTATTTTTAGTTGAACAGTCGACTCTCTCCCAGCTGTTCCAGTTGCCCACTGAAAAGGCACCAGGATTTGCATAATTTCCTCTGCAGCGACCCACTGCACTGGCTGAAACAGCTGCATTGAGATTCTTGGCACTTTTCTGCCCGGGAATCTTCCGGTCTGGCTGCCCGCTTCAGTCCCCTTTTCAATCAGCTGAACGGGCAACTCTGCCTTCCCAGAGCTCCAAACGCCAACTAAAAGGGCACCCAGTCCCGTATACTCCGTACTGAGAACCACCGTGCCAGCCAAAAGAGTTGCAATGGCGACCCGTGGGGCTCCTCACTGGGAATCTCCCGATCCGTGGGCAACAAAAATTCATCTGGAAGTGTGGCGTTCACTCACTCTCTGCACTTTCACTGGGAGCTACAATCCTGAGCTGCTGATAATTGGCCATCTTAGATCTCTCTCATTTCACCTTCTTCTAATATTTGAAAGCTGGGAAACCCAATAGTCGGGCTTCTTAAGAGACATATGGTATACACTTACAGAAGAACTAAGATTTAAAAGATTATATCAGCCAGGCGCAGTGGCTCATGCCTGTAAACTCAGCACTTTGGGAGGCCGAAGCGGGAAGATTGTTTGAGCCCAGGAGTTCGACACCAACCTGGGCAATGTGGCAAAACCCTGTTTCTACAACATTTAAAAAAAATTAGCCAGGCATGGTGGTGGCACATGCCTGTAGTCCCAGCTACTCAGGGGGCTGAAGTGGGAAGACTGCTTGAGCCCAGGAGGCAGAGGTTGCAGTGAGCCAAGACTGTGCTACTGCACTCCAGCTGGGCAAGCAAGCAATACTCTGTCTCAACAGAATAAAATGAAGGTGATGTCAGCTGTTCTTAAGAATATGGAACAACTGGAACTCTCACACATTGCTAGTGGTAGTGTAAATTGACATGACCACTTTGGAAAACTCTTGGCAGTATCAACCAAAGCTGAAAATAAACATACCCTATAAACCAGTAATCCACTTCTAGGTATACACTCAATAGAAATCAATGTATATGTTCACCAAAAGGCATATATAAAAATGTTCATAGTTATTTTCTTCATAATAGCTCCCAAGCACAAACAATCCAAGTCTTCATTAATAGAAGAACAGAGAAATTGGAACACCATGGAATGCTACACAGAGAAAAAATGAACTGATATACATTTCACAGTTCGATCTCATTTTGTTGTTGTTGTTGTTTTTGAGACGGAGTATCACTCTGTCACCCAGGCTGGAGTGCGGTGGTGCAATCATGGCTCACTGCCACCTTGACCTCCCAGGCTCAAGCAATCCTCCCACCTCAGCCTCCCGAGGAGCTAGGACTAGAGGCATGCACCACCATGCCCAGCTAATTTTTTTACTTTTGGTAGAGACAAGGGTCTCCCTATGTTGCCCAGGCTGATCTTGAACTCCTGGGATCAAGCGATCCTCCTGCCTTGGCCTCCCAAAGTTCTAGGATTACAGGTGTGAGCCACCGTGCCCAGCTCTGATTATTATTTTAAGTGAAAGATGTAAGAAACAAGAGTACAAACTATATAATTCTATTTATTTGTAGGCCAAGAACAGGTGAAACTAACCATTGGGGTAAATCAAAATAGTTATCACTGGACAGAGTTTAATGACTGGGAAGGGGCACAAAGCAACTTCGGGGATGCTGCTCTGGGAGGTAGGTACAAGGGTATAGATATGTATCAAAAATTATCAAGCTGTACACTTAGGTGCACATTACAAACTTTATTTGTATGTTACACATGGATAAAAAATTATTAAAATATATGGCAGAAAAGGTACTGAGTACTGAATGAGGGTCAAAAGGGCACATTTTGTAGTAAAAAAAAAAGTATGTTCTGGCTAATATTAGGTTTTTAAGGGCAAAAACCACAATTACTTTTACACCAATTTATATGTGGCAGAATTTTTTCTACTGTAAATTGAAGGTTATGATCCAAGGATTCCCTAGTCTGCATTTTTTTTTTGAGATAGGGTCTTGCTCTGTCACCCAGGCTGGAGTACAGTGGCGTGATCACAGCTTACCGCAGCCTCAACCCCCCAAGGCTCAGGTGATCATCCCACTTCTGCCTCCTGAGTATCTGGGACTACAGGTGTATGTCACCACACTGAGCTAAATTTGTTTTTGTACTTTTTGTAGAGACGGAGTTTCACCATGTTGCCCAGGCTGGTCTTGAACTGCCCACTCAAGCAATCCCCCTTCCTCAGCCTCCCAAAGTGCTAGTGTTAGAGGCATCAGCCACCACACCCAGCCTAGTCTAATCTTTAAACATGTTGTGACAATGATTGTCTGAGACACCATTAAGATTTTCTCAAATTACATGATGCAAATAAACTATGAATAAAGGGACCTTCCTCAATCTGATAAAGGTTATCTATGAAAAATCTGCTGCTCTCATACCTAACAGTGAAAGACTAGCTACTTTCTTCTTAAGAACAGAAACAAAATAAGAATGTCTACTCTTACCACTTCTACTCCACATTATGCTAGAGATTCTAGCTAGGATTATTAGGCAAGGAAAATAAAGGCATCTAGGTTGGAAAGGAAAAACTAATCCTGTATCTGCCAATGACATAATATTGTATACAGAAAATCCTAATTCAAAACCCATTAGAACTAATATAAGAGTTAAGCAAGATTGTAAGTTACAAAATCAATATTAAAAAATGAAGTGTATTTCTATACATCATCAGTGAAACAACCCAAAAGTGAAGTTCAAAAAACAACTCCATTTAGTATCAAAAGAATAAAATCCTTAGGTATGTATTTAACAAAAGAAGTACAAAATTTGTATGCTGAAACTACAGAAATATTGTTGAAAGAAATTCAAGAAAAGCTAAGTAAAGAGAAATCCATCCTGTATTCATGGATTGGAAGCCAGAACGGTTAACATGGCAATGCTCTCCAAATTGATCTAGATATCCAACGTATTCCCTGTCAAAGTCCTAGCTGCCATTTTTGAACAGAAATTGATAAGCTGATCCTAAAATTCACGTGGAAATGCAAGCATCCACAATAACCAAAATAATCTTGAAAAACAAGAACGAAGTTGGAGGGCTCACATTTCCTGATTTTACAACTTACTGCAAAGCTACAGTAATCGAGAAAGTATGGTGCTTACATAAGAACAGACATAAAAACAATGAAACGGAATTGAGACTCCAGGAATAAATTCCTACATTTGTGGTCAACTGATTTCCTAAAAGAGTACCAAGACCATGCAATGAGGGAAAGAATAGTCTTCAACAAATGATGCCAGGACAACCACACATCCACATGTTAAAGAATGAAGCTGGAACCCCTACCTTACACCATGTCCAAAAATGAATTCAAAATGGGTCAAAAACTTAAACATAAAAGCTAAAACTATAAAACTCTTAGAAGAAAACATAAAAAGCATAGAATGCCTCAGGTTAGACAAAACCTTCTAAAACAGAAACTTTCGGTAAAGCACAAATGACAAAAGAAAAGTAGGCAAGTTGAACTCTGTCCAAATTAACAACTTTTGTGCTGCAAATGATACCATCAAGAGAGTGAAAAGACAACCTATGGGATGGGGAAAAACATTTGCAAATCACATTTGATAAGGAACTTGCATGGAAGAAAAAAAAAATACATAGATATATACATATATACATACCTATATATATATAACCCTTAAAACTCAATAATGAAAGGATAAATAACCCAGTTATAAGTGGGCAAAGTTTGGAGATAGCTGGCAAACGCCACTTTCACCAGATGATCCAAGTTAACATCACCAATACTGACAGAGATATGGTGTCCCTTGTTATAAGGCACTGAGAAGGACACAACATCACTTCTGTGAGATTCCTGCCAAATACATAACATCAGCATACTCATGAGGAAATGATCAACAAATCCAAGTCAAAGGACTACCCAAAATAAACTGACTGCACTCTTGGAAAGTATTAAGTCAAAAAAGACCAAAAAAGACTGATGATGAACTCTTCCAGGTGAAAAGAGACTGTGTGGACATGACAACTAAATGCAACATGTGATCCTGGATTGGAACGTGAACCAGAAGAAAAACCTTTTGTTTTGCTATAAAAGACATAATTGGGACACTAAGTAAAATTTGAATAAATGTTATAGATTATAGAACTATATCCTAATTTCCTCATTAGATAACTGTACTGTAATTACGTAAGTGAATAGCCTTGTTTTTGTGAAATACACTGAAGTATTTAGAGGTAATGGAGCATTATGTCTACAATTTACTTTTAAACAGTTCAGGAAAAAATAACCATATGCATAGAGAGAGAATGTAAAACAAATGCGATAAAAGGTTAACTCTGAGAAATCCTGTGTGAAACATATATGGAAATTATTTCCTTTTTTTAAAAAAACTTTCCTATGGTTCTGAATATTTTCAAACATAAAAAGTTTATTTTTTAATTGGGCAAAGAATTTGAATAGACATTTCTCCAGAGGTATATAAATGGCCAGTAGGCAAATGAAATGATACTTAGTACAGTTAGTCATCAGGATAATGCAAATCAAAACCACAATGAAATTTCGCCTCACATCCACTAGGATTATGATACTCAAAAGACAGATAATAACAGGTGCTGACAAGGACATAGAGAAATTGGAAGCCATTGCTTATTGGAAGCCAATTCCCATAGCAATATACATTGCTAATGGGAAAATGGTCTGGCAGTTCCTCAAAAGGTTAAACGTAGAGTTACCGTAAGACCCAGCAATTTGACTCCAAGAGAAGTAAAAACATATCCTCACAAAGACTTGCATGTGCACGTTCACAGAAGTAAAATTCATAACTGTTAAAAAGTGCAAACAACCCAAATGCCTATCAGCTGACAAACAGATAAACTGTGGTATAGCCACACAAAAGAATATAATTCAGCCACAAAACCAAATGAAGTACTGATACATGTTACAAATGAATAAACCTTAAAAACATTACGCTAAGTGAAAAAAGCCAATTGTAAAAGACCACATACTGTATGATTTCATTTATATGAAATGGCCAGAAGAGACAAAACGAGAGAGACACAAAAATTAATGGCTGCCTAGGCCTGGGGCCAAGAGGGGGTGAGTTGAAGGAAGGAGGAGTGACTCTAATGAATACCGGGTTTCTTGTGGAGTGATGAAAATATTCTAAAATTAGATTACGGTGTTGATTGGAAAACTATAAATATACTAAAAAACACTGGATGTTACGTTATGTTATTTATTTATTTTTAAATAGAGTTTCCCTCTTGTTGCCCAGGCTGGGGTGCGATGGCATGCTCTTTGCTCACTGCAACCTCTGCTTCCCAGGTTGAAATAATCCTCCTGCCTCAGCCTCTCAAGTAGCTGGGATTATAGGCATGCACCACCATGCCCAGCTAATTTTTTTTAGTAGAGGCGATGTGTCACCATGTTTGTCAGGCTGGTCTCAACTCCTAACGTCAGGTGGTCCACCCTCCTCAGCCTCCCAAAGTGCTGAGATTATACGCGTGAGCCACTGCACCCAGCCAAGTTGTATATTTTAAATGGCTGAATTGCCTGCTATGTGAATTACAGAAAATTTTAGAGGTTTTTTTTGAGATGTAAGTTAACATTTTAAGAAAGACAGCACAGCAGGTAAATAACTTTCAAATCAAAGGCCCTTTAAAAATGATTCACCATAATTAGATTGCAAATACCTGAATTGGCTATAACTCACCTACTACACTGCTCTTCGGTGGAAAAGTAGATTTGAAAGTCATCAGAATTATCATGGACATATAGAAAACAACACCGTTCATCAAACTTCGATAGGCTGTAAAATTTCAAAGCATAATGTTTATATCTAAGTTATGATACCAATTCTACATACGTGAGACAATCTTTCTATTTTACCAGTTTCTGAAGATTCATAATGTTTTAACAAACACCCCCCAAGTCTGCCTTTTATTTCTCTATGAAATTTAAATATCAGAGAATTTGTCTTACTTATATTTGAGTCTGTATTTATTAACTGACTTTAATATGAACTTACTCAACATAATTCAGTGCTAACTAAGCATACAGGCAAAAGAAAGGGAAATAAAATATGATCTCTGCCCTCAAGGGGCTTATAATCTCATGAAAAAGAAAGGCGAGGTATTTGTGAAATAATCTATTGTGGTATTAAGGGAATTTCTAGACTCAGAAAATATCAGGACACAGTATTTATGGCCACACAAGGGAAATGGAAATAAACACGGCATTGCAGCTCAAGAAAGGCCTTGAAGTGTTATCTGGTCCATCTCCCCACAGTGTCTGTACCTGACTCTACAGCTCATCCAACAAGCAATATTCAGCTTGCCTGGACACAGCCAGTGGCAGAAAATATGCTAGTACAAGATTTTTTCTTTTTTCTTTTTTTGGGACCAGAGTCTTGCTTTGTCACCTAGGCTGGAGTGCAGTGGCACAATCTCAGCTCACTGCAACCTCTGCCTCCCGGGTTCAAGCGATTTTCCTGCCTCAGCCTCCTGAGTAGCTGGGACTACAGGCATGCGCCACGATGCCTGGCTGATTTTTGTATTTTTTGTAGAGTTGGGGTTTTGCCATGTTGGTCAGGCTGGTCTCGAACTCCTGACCTCAAGTGATCCACCTGCCTCAGCCTCCCAAAGTGCTGGGATTACAGGCATGAGCCACCATGCCTGGCGACGGTTTTAAAAAATGTATTTCTTAGTAATTAAGTTGTGTTAGAGCATGTAGTCAAGAACATTCTGTTTGTGCCTCCTCATAGAGATACCATTTCAACCATCAGTGGGGATTTACAAAGGGCCTGGAGGTGTATCAGCCATGCCCCATCCTTCCCTGGGACTGATGTGACCTGAAGCGTATGCTTTGTGCATTCCAGAGGCTCTCCAACTAACTGTGGTAGTTGCTTTACAGATTGATTTTCAAAACCTGCTCACTTATAATCTAGTTCTAATTCTTTCTGAATCTCTTGGTGTTCCAACTCAGTATGTCATGCAATCTATGACATAAAGCATGGTCTAGGGCAGCCTGGATCTCAGGAAGAGACAACTTAGAAGGGGTGAGATAAAGTGGCTTCAGTTGTCTGAAGGGCCAATTATAGAAGAGAATGTAGTCTTCGTCTTCGTAATACCACATGGCAGAATGAGGGCCACTGCAGAGGCTCTGGCCCCGAGTGGGTGAAGAACTCTCTAACATACAATCTACTTGCAGCTTTTCTGTCACTGGCTATGTCCAGGCAAGCTGAATATTTTTTGTTGGACAAGCTGTAGAGTCATGTGGAGACACTGGGTGGAGATGGACCAGACATTTCAAAGCTCTTCTTGAGCTACAACGCCATGTGTATTTCCATTTCCCTTGTGTGGCCATAAATACTGTGTCCTGATATTTTCCAAGTCTAGAAATTCCCTTAACACCACAATAGATTATTTCACAAATACCTTGCCTTTCTTTTTCATGAGATTATAAACTCCTTGAGGGCAGAGATTATATTTTATTCCCTTTTCTGTTGCTTTGTGTATGCTTTGCCTTGTATTTCCTGGGCAGTATCATCCCAATGCACTATTCTCTACTTAAATTATTTCCCTCCTTTTAAGTGATGATGACTGCATTCTAATTTCAATACTGATGTGTCCGGGACAGTATCACACTGTGTCTGGAAGTAACTGAGGATTCATTCAGTGCCTGAGATAGCCTCAGAATCAGAGAAAGGAATGTTCTAGCCCAAGCCCTTTATTTGATAAAAATAGTGAAAAAACTGAGACTTAAAGAAATTGAGTGACTTTCCCAATGTCACACAGCAGAGAGAGACTAGAATTTACATCTACTTCAGAGCCAGTCTCACCCTCGAATGAGCTGGCAGGGTGACAAGTGCAGCCGAGATGTATTAGCCCTGCTTGGGTAAGGCCACACAGCTCAGATCCAAATGGTCACCACTCATGATCCAAAATGCAAGAGCTGCGCCTCTCCCCAGAAAACACCACCTCATGCCCTCCCTGAAAACAATTTCCTGGCTCCATTACTCTGTTCACCAGACCCTAATCCAAGTGTTGCTACCAACTATCTCCTGGCTTCACTTCTCAGTCACTGAGCACTGGAACATCTTTGGCTCAAAAAAGATACATCTTCTCTTTCTGCAGATTACTTTTTTAAAAAAATTCTGACACAAGTGAGTTTAGTCTGCTGAGTATGAGCAAAGCTACTCTTTTATAACAACCCAAGAAGCTCTTACTAGGAGCATACTAGTATTAATAACTAGCTCAGACAGGGCAACAAAACAGAAGAGAGTCCATTTAAAAACAGGAACATTCCATATTATGACTAAGTGGAAACATGAAGTGCATAAAACATAATCATCATTTGCATTAGAACAGTAACTCCATTTTCTCCTGTGTTCTTACCTGATTCCCCTTATGGAAGAGGCTGCAAAATTCCATTCGTGCATTTGTTTCTGTAAGTTATCAAAGACAGAAGTTAATAGTTTGACTTTTTCTAAGCAAAGGATTTTTTTTTGTTTTGCTTTATTCCATGGTCAATCATTTCTGCTATTTTACCTGCAGTAGTGATTTTTTTAGGGGTTACAGCAATATACCTTGCAAACCTTGAAACACCAGAAACATTTTCTTATGTATTACAAAAATTTGTTTGTATCTCTAAAACAGTTTATGTAAATTTGAAATAATCTAAGGTTCAAATAGATATAATAAGCACAGAATAAGCACACAGTAGTAGGCAAACTCTAAAACAAGCATGAGAACAGCCCACCTGAGTGACTCGCAAAAATGTTGGAAGAGGCAAGGCTATGGCAGACACCTTTCAGCACTCATCAATCTTCCTTTTCTCCCTGAACATAGAGCTGAACTACATTTCCCAGACTCCCTTGCAGCTAGGGAGCTATACAATGGAGATTAACCAATGAGATGTGAGCAGGAATGCTGTGCATCACCTACAGGCCTGGGTCATAAACTCCACAGCAATCCTCTATTTCCTCTTTTCCCATCCATTGCAAGATGGAATATCCCCCACTGCCACCCTCTGCAACCTGGATACAACATGCAACATAAACTTTTATCATGTTAAGATATTGAGATTTGGGGGCTGTTTGTTTTAGAAGCTAGCCTACCATGACTAATAGAAAAAACTGGGATTTCGCAGCACCAAGATGCACTTACAAACAAAAACCAACTCTGTCCCCTCCTTCACTACCATTAAACTTTGCACAAAGCTAAGCCTCAGAAGGAACATCTGAAACTCCAGTTTCAAAAATTCATAGGCAATAAAATCAGTACATCACAACCACAGAAAATAATTTTAAGTAGGAAAATCCATTCGGGCCAGGTGTGGTGGCTCACACCTGTAATCCCAGCACTTTGGGAGGCTGAGGCGAGCAGATCACTTGAGGTCAGGAGTTCAAGACCAGTCTGGCCAACATGGTGAAACACCGTCTGAACTAAAAATACAAAAATTAGCTGGGTGTGGTAGCATGCACCTGTAATCCCAACTACTCTCGAGGCTAAGGTGGCAGAATCAGTTGAACCCAGGGGGTGGAGTTTGCAGTGAGTCAAGATCACGCCACTGTCCTCTAGCCAGGGTGATAGAGTGAGGGACTGTCTCAAAAAAAAAAAAAAATCCATTTGGTTTGCCTGAGGAATATCACAAGTGACCAACTAAGCCACCCAGGGAAAAAATGTATGAGAGCCACGTGACTGAGCATGACTCAAGAGAACTGCCATGGGCAGGCACATGATTAGTTTCTTGCCATCCTGGAGCAATGACAACAGGAACAGACTGGGAAGATGGTTCCCGACGGGAAAAGTTCTGGTCATACGTGTTGATCAAGCCCCTACCATGTGCTAGGCAAAGTACTAATACTGAAGACACAGCAGAGAACCACAAAGTTCCTGCCTTTATGGGCCTTATATGTGAGTGAAGAGAGATGGACAATAGATGAAATAGTAAAATCATGGCATGAGGGAGGGTGAAAAGTGAAGACAAAGAAATAAAGCAGGGAAGGGCATTAAGATACAGCAGCGGTCACATTGTTCAGCAGGATGTTGAGGGCAGGTGTCACTGTTGACTTCTGAACAGAAAGCTAAAGCAGGGGAAAGAGGGAGCCACAGGACGGGGGGAAAGGGTTCCAGGAAGACGGAAAAGCAAGCACAAAGGCCCTGAGGCAGGAGTACACTTGGCACATCTGGGGACCAACAAAAAAGCGAATATGGCTGCAGTGAAGTAAGTGGGGTGGGAGTGAAAGAGGAGGTTGGAGAGCTCATGGGGGCAAATCACACAGAGCTTCTAGGCCACCCTCGGGACTTCAGCTTTTACTGTGGGTGAGACGGGAAGCCATTGGAGACTTCTCAAAAGAGAGTATGAGAATATGAAAGCCATCAAATCACATCCAACTGCGCAGAAAGGCTGAGTGTATTTCAGAGGAGACATGAGTCCAAAGTCATGCAGAGAGGATAGTGGTGGGCAGCAGGAGTCTGTCTTTGGATTCAGGCACAGAAATGGAAACCAGGGCAGACTCAAGAGAGTCTTGTCTGACCCACAGCCACCTGCACGAGGCTGCACATATACAGAAAAATTAACCACATGAGTGTCCAAAGTATTCCTGACAGCAGGTCTATTCCAGGGTGCTTTAGAGAATTTCTTGATTTGGGAGAAACATTTACTAGTTAAGTACACAACACAGACACCCCCCTCCTCCGCTACTACTTTTATTTTATTTTATTTTTTAATTTTTTATTGCATTTTAGGTTTGGGGGTACATGTGCAGAACATGCAAGACAGTTGCGTAGGTACACACATGGCAGTGTGTTTTGCTTCCTTTCTCCCCTTCACCCACATTTGGCATTTCTCCCCAGGCTATCCCTCCCCACCTCCCCCTCCCGCTGGCCCTCCCCTTTTCCCCCCAATAGACCCCAGTGTTTAGTACTCCCCTCCCCGTGTCCATGTGTTCTCATTTTCATCACCCGCCTATGAGTGAGAATATGCGGTGTTTCATTTTCTGTTCTTGTATCAGTTTGCTGAGAATGATGTTCTCCAGATTCATCCATGTCCCTACAAATGACACGAACTCATCATTTCTGATTGCTGCATTAATATTCCATGGTGTATATGTGCCACATTTTCCCAATCCAGTCTATCATCGATGGGCATTTGGGGTGTTCCCAGGTCTTTGCTATTGTAAACAGTGCTGCAATGAACATTTGTGTACATGTGTCCTTATAGTAGAACGATTTATAGTCTTTTGGATATATACCCAGTAATGGGATTGCTGGGTCAAATGGAATTTCTATTTCTAAGGCCTTGAGGAATCGCCACACTGTCTTCCACAATGGTTGAACTAATTTACACTCCCACCAACAGTGTAAAAGTGTTCCTTTTTCTCCACATCCTCCCAGCATCTGTTGTCTCCAGATTTTTAATGATCGCCATTCTAACTGGCGTGAGATGGTATCTCAATGTGGTTTTGATTTGCATCTCTCTGATGACCAGTGACGATGAGCATTTTTTCATATGATTGTTGGCCTCATATATGTCTTCTTTCGTAAAGTGTCTGTTCATATTCTTTGCCCAATTTTGAATGGGCTTGTTTTTTTCCTGTTAATCTGTTTGAGCTCTTTGTAAATTCTGGATATCAGCCCTTTGTCAGATGGGTAAACTGCAAAAATTTTTTCCCATTCTGTTGGTTGCCGATTTACTCTAGTGACTGTTTCTTTTGCCGTGCAGAAGCTGTGGAGTTTGATTAGGTCCCATTTGTCTATTTTGGCCTTTGTTGCCAATGCTTTTGGTGTTTTGTTCATGAAGTCCTTGCCTACTCCTATGTCTTGGATGGTTTTGCCTAGATTTTCCTCTAGGGTTTTTATGGTGCCAGGTCTTATGTTTAAGTCTTTAATCCATCTGGAGTTAATTTTAGTGTAAGGTGTCAGGAAGGGGTCTAGTTTCTGCTTTCTGCACATGGCTAGCCAGTTTTCCCAACACCATTTGTTGAACAGGGAATCCTTTCCCCATTGCTTGTTTTTGTCGGATTTATCAAAGATTGTATCATTGTAGATATGTTGTGTTGCCTCCGATGCCTCTGTTCTGTTCCATTGGTCTATATCTCTGTTTTGGTACCAGTACCATGCTGTTTTGATTACTGTAGCCTTGTAGTATAGTTTGAAATCCAGTAGCGTGATGCCCCTCACTGTGTTCTTTTTGCTTCGAATTGACTTGGCTATGCGGGCTCTCTTTTGGTTCCATATGAAGTTCATGGTGGTTTTTTCCAGTTCTGTGAAGAAAGTCAATGGTAGCTTGATGGGTATAGCACTGATTCTGTAAATTACTTTGGGCAGTATAGCCATTTTCATGATATTAATTCTTCCTAACCATGAACATGGAATGTTTCTCCATCTGTTTGTGTCCTCTCTGATTTCGTTGAGCAGTGGCTTGTAGTTTTCCTTGAAGAGGTCCCTTACGTTCCTTGTGAGTTATATTCCAAGGTATTTTATTCTTTTTGTAGCAATTGTGAATGGCAGTTCGTTCTTGATTTGGCTTTCTTTCAGTCTGTTATTGGTGTAGAGGAAGGCTTGTGATTTTTGCACATTGATTTTATATCCTGAGACTTTGCTGAAGTTGCTTATCAGTTTCAGGAGTTTTTGGGCTGAGGCGATGGGGTCTTCTAGGTATACTATCATGTCGTCTGCAAATAGAGACAATTTGGCTTCCACCTTTCCTATTTGAATACACTTTATTTCTTTTTCTTGCCTGATTGCTGTGGCTAGAACTTCCAGTACTATATTGAATAGGAGTGGTGAAAGAGGGCATCCTTGTCTAGTACCGGATTTCAAAGGGAATGCTTCCCGTTTTTGCCCATTCAGTATGATATTGGCTGTTGGTTTGTCATAAATAGCTTTTATTACTTTGAGACAAATTCCATCGATACCGAGTTTATTGAGGGTTTTTAGCATAAAGGGCTGTTGAATTTTGTCAAATGCCTTCTCTGCATCAATTGAGATAATCATGTGGCTTTTGTTTTTGGTTCTGTTTATGTGGTGAATTACGTTTATAGACTTGCATATGTTGAACCAGCCTTGCATCCCCGGGATGAATCCTACTTGATCATGATGGATAAGTTTTTTGATTTGCTGTTGCAATCAGCTTGCCAATATTTTATTGAAGATTTTTGCATCTATGTTCATCATGGATATTGGCCTGAAGTTTTCTTTTCTTGTTGGGTCTCTGCCGGGTTTTGGTATCAGGATGATATTGGTCTCATAGAAGGATTTGGGAAGGATTCCTTCTTTTTGGATTATTTGGAATAGTTTCAGAAGGAATGGTACCAGCTCCTCTTTGTGTGTCTGGTAGAATTCGGCTGTGAACCCATCTGGAGCTGGGCTTTTTTTGTGTGGTAGGCTCTTAATTGCTGCCTCGACTTCTGACCTTGTTATTGGTCTATTCATAGTTTCAGCTTCCTCCTGGTTTAGGCTTGGGAGGATACAGGAGTCCCGGAATTTATCCATTTCTTCCAGGTTTACTAGTTGATGTGCATAGAGTTGTTTGTAATATTCTCTGATGATGGTTTGAATTTCTGTGGAGTCTGTGGTGATTTCCCCTTTATCATTTTTTATTGCATCGATTTGGTTGTTCTCTCTTTTCTTTTTAATCAATCTGGCTAGTGGTCTGTCTATTTTGTTGATCTTTTCAAAAAACCAGCTCTTGGATTTATTGATTTTTTGGAGGGATTTTCGTGTCTCAATCTCCTTCAGTTATGCTCTGATCTTAGTTATTTCTTGTCTTCTGCTGGGTTTTGAGTTTTGTTGATCTTGCTCCTCTAGCTCTTTCAATTTTGACGATAGGGTGTCAATTTTGGATCTCTCCATTCTCCTCATATGGGCACTTATTGCTATATACTTTCCTCTAGAGACTGCTTTAAATTTGTCCCAGAGATTCTGGCATGTTTTGTCTTCATTCTCATTGGTTTCGAAGAACTTCTTTATTTCTGCCTTCATTTCATTGTTTATCCTGTCAAGACTCAAGAGCCAGTTGTTCAGTTTCCATGAAGCTGTGCGGTTCTGGGTTGGTTTCTGAATTCTGAGTTCTAACTTGATTGCACTATGGTCTGAGAGGCTGTTATGATTTCAGTTGTTTTGCATTTGCTGAGGAGTGCTTTACTTCCAATTATGTGGTCAATTTTAGAGTAGGTGTGATGTGGTGCTGAGAAGAATGTATATTCTGTGGATTTGGGGTGGAGAGTTCTGTAAATGTCTATCAGGTTTGCTTGCTCCAGGTCTGAGTTCAAGCCCTGGATATCCTTGTTGAGTTTCTGTCTGGTTGATCTGTCTAATATTGACAGTGGAGTGTTAAAGTCTCCCAATATTATTGTGTGGGAGTCTAAGTCTCTTTGTAAGTCGTTAAGAACTTGCCTTATATATCTGGGTGCTCCTGTATTGGGTCCATATATGTTTAGGATCATTAGCTCTTCTTGTCGTATCAATCCTTTTACCATTATGCAGTGGCCTTCTTTGTCTCTTTTGATCTTTGTTGCTTTAAAGTCTATTTTATCAGAGATGAGAATTGCAACTCCTGCTTCCTTTTGCTCTCCATTTGCTTGGTAAATCTTCCTCCATCCCTTTATTTTGAGCCTTTGTGTATCCTTGCATGTGAGATGGGTTTCCTGGATACAGCACACTGATGGGTTTTGGATTTTTATCCAATTTGCCAGTCTGTGTCTTTTGATTGGTGCATTTAGTCCATTTACATTGAGGGTTAATATTGTTATGTGTGAATTTGATACTGCCATTTTGATGCTAGCTGGCTGTTTTGCCCGTTAGTTGTTGTAGATTCTTCATTATGTTGATGCTCTTTAGCATTTAGTGTGATTTTGGAATGGCTGGTACTGGTTGTTCCTTTCTATGTGTAGTGTCTCTTTCAGGAGCTCTTGTAAAGCAGGCCTGGTGGTGACAAAATCTCTGAGTACTTGCTTGTTCGCAAAGGATTTTATTTTTCCTTCACTTATGAAGCTCAGTTTGGCTGGATATGAAATTCTGGGTTGAAAGTTCTTTTCTTTAAGGATGTCGAATATTGGCCCCCACTCTCTTCTGGCTTGTAGAGTTTCTGCCGAGAGATCTGCTGTGAGTCTGATGGGCTTCCCTTTGTGGGTGACCTGACCTTTCTCTCTGGCTGCCCTCAGTATTTTCTCCTTTATTTCAACCTTGTTGAATCTGATGATTATGTGCCTTGGGGTTGCTCTTCTTATGGAATATCTTTGTGGTGTTCTCTGTATTTCCTGCAATTGAGTGTTGGCCTGTCTTGCTAGGTGGGGGAAATTTTCCTGGATAATGTCCTGAAGAGTATTTTCCAGCTTGGATTCATTCTCTTCGCCACATTCTGGTACACCTATCAGACGTAGGTTAGGTCTCTTCACATAGTCCCACATTTTTTGGAGACTTTGTTCATTCCTTTTTGCGCTTTTTTCTCTGATCTTGGTTTCTCGTTTTATTTCATTGAGTTGATCTTCGACTTCTGATATTCTTTCTTCTGCTTGGTCAATTCGGCTATTGAAACTTGTGCATGCTTCACGAAGTTCTCGTATTTTGTTTTTCAGCTCCTTTAATTCATTTATATTCCTCTCTAAGTTATCCATTCTTGTTATCATTTCCTCGAATCTTTTTTCATATCTTTTTTCAAGGTTCTTAGTTTCTTTGCATTGATTTAAAACATGTTCTTTTAGCTCACAAAAGTTTCTCATTATCCACCTTCTGAAGTCTAATTCTGTCATTTCGTCATAGTCATTCTCCATCCAGCTTTGTTCCCTTGCTGGTGAGGAGTTTTGGTCCTTTCTAGGCGGTGAGGTGTTCTGGTTTCGGGTGTTTTCCTCCTTTTTGCGCTGGTTTCTTCCCATCTTTGTGGATTTATCCACCTGTCGTCTGTGTAGTTGCTGACTTTTCGACTGGGTCTCTGAGTGGACGCCCAGATTGTTGATGATGAAGTATTTCTGTTACTTGGTTTTCCTTCTTCCAGTCTAGCTCCTCTACTGTACAACTGCTGAGGTCCACTCCAGGCCCTGCTTGTCTGGGGTGCACCTATAGCAGCTGTGGAACAGTGAGGGATGCTACCAGTTTCTTTTTCTGCTATCTTTGTCCCAGATGATGCCTGCCAAATGTCAGTCTTTTGGATATAGAGGGGTCAGGGAGCTGCTTGAGGAGACAGTCTGTACTTTATAGGAGCTCAAGTGCTGAGCTGTGAGCTCTGTTGTTCATTTAGGGCTGTTAGGCCGCTATGTTTAATTCTGCTGCAACATAACTCATTAAAAAACCCTTTTTTTCTCAGAATAAAAAAAAACCTTTTTTTTTCTCAAAATAAAGGGGCTTTATTTTTGAGTGTCCGCCGCGCTGTCCTGCCCAGCTAGGAGGCAGTCTAGTCACTATTTGCCTGCCGAGGTTCCGCCCTGTTGGTGTGAGGTTCGTCCTATTGCTGCATGCTCTGCCCTTCTGCTGCGGTCTCCGCCCTGCTGCCATGGGCTACGCCCTGCGGCGGAGTCTCTCTGTTGTAGTGGGTTGCCTCGGCAACGGCAGGCTGCGTCAGCAATGGGCATGTACCTCAGTAGGGGCAGTTTGCCTTGGTAATGGCGGACACCCCTCCCCCACAGAGCTGCGGCCTCAGGGAACCCCTCCACGGGGAGCGTTTGGAATCGCCGTTTTGTTTGTCCCACTGCACTACCCCAAACGCTGTGACCCTGGAATCTCCTGGGCTGGCTCACTGTCCAAGTCCCGTTCAGTCTCAAGTTCAGCCCTCCCAAGTCTCAGGTTGCCAGCCCAACAGGGCACCCGGACGAGCGCGCTTTGTGCAGAGCGCTGTGTAGCGCTGCCACAGCGCGGGCCGCCACCGCACCGGCTGCCGGCTGCACCAGGCAAAACCTCTGCCTGGCGTCCCGCGTCTCCTCTATACCTAGGAATTTCCCCATTCTGTGGGCAACAAAGATCCGTCTGGAAATGCGGCCCTGACTCACCCCCTCCGCGCATTGACCGCGAGCTTCAATCCTGGGTTGTTCTCACAGCACCATCTTGAGTCCTCCCTATTTTATGTCATAATCAATGGCACTTGTTCCAGAGTGGGCAACCGTTCTGTAGCTCCTACGGCTACAAACATATAGAAGTCACATATGGGCATTCTTAGGATGTTCTTCTGGGCATGATACAGGCATTGGTAGCCTAGAGACAGTCCGTGGAAGGAATAAAAGGGTGGTTAAAGAAGACTTTGCAAAAGCTAGGACTTGGAGAACTGGAAGAAGGAATTCCCAAAAGAAACAAGGATGGAGATAAAAGGGTAAGACTGGAGCTCCCACGGGGACAGCTGAGGGGCTGGTAAGAGGATAGTTTAACTGGCAGTGACAGTTGTAGAGAAAGAGGAAGTGGGGGCAGGATTGTAGAGGGAGGGACTTGAACACTTAGCAGAAGAGTTTGAGTTTTGTCTGGAAAGCCACAGGATCAAGTAGTGGTTGACAGGTATCAAAAAGGCAGTATAGATGCTTCTAAAAATATATTACTATTTTATTTTTCTAGAGACAGGGTCTCACTGTTGCCCAGGCTTGAGTGCAGTGGTGCAGTCATAGCTCACTGTGGCCTCGACCTTCCAGGCTCAAGCGATCCTCCTCCACCTCAGTCTCCCGAGTAGCTGAGACTACAGGTGTGCACCACCATTCCCGGTTAATTTTTTTAATTTATTGTTTCGTAGAGACAGGGTTTTGCTGGGTCACCCATGCTGGTCTTTAACTTCTGGGCTTAAGCAATCAGCCTGCCTTGGCCTCACAAAGCGTTGGGACTACATGTATGAGCAAACACACCAGCCTATATCCCCTACCCACTTCCCTATGGTTTAACTATTTAGAAAACCCCAAAACCTGTATTTGTTTTAATGTTTTTACACACACACACACACACACTCCCACATCCCAACACCTCACCACATGCCCACATACACACATGCCCACACACATGTATGTATACACACACACACAATGGAAAAACCTACTTTTTCTCATCTGTGATCATACTCTCTTATATGTTCTCATAATTCAGAAGTTCAACATGGGTGCCTTTTCCTTCAAATACTACCATCTAGATTATCCTATTTGAAAATCGAATATTTGATTCAATTGCTTGCAATTTTTCCTCCTTACCATTTCTGTGGGTGAGACATGCCATAAAGAAACCGTTCTCTCCTCGGCTTCATTGTTTATGGAAACGTAAGAAGGCTGGTACACTTTGGTTGGCTCTATCACCAGAACCTGAAACAAGAACAGATGCCTGTTAACGTGCATGGGTAGACATGGCATACCCTGACCAGTGAGGAGGCGAGGAGGTCCATACTCAATAAATCCTAACTGAGGGCTAAGTGCAGTGGTTCATGCCTGTAATCCCAGCACTTTGGGAGCCTGAGATCGGAGGATCACTTCAGCCCAGGAGTTCAAGGGCAACATATCAAGATGCCATCTCTTGGGAGAAAAAAAAGATGCAAGGAGATAAAAAAGGTGATGGCCCATTAGTAAGGTGTTGTTATCTTAAGAGAGAAGAGGGGAGAGAGTGGGGGAAAGGGTGAGAAGGAGGAGAGTGGGGACAGAAAGGGCAGGGAGAAAGGGAGCTAGGAGGAGGAGAAGGGAGGAAGAAGGGGGGGAAGAAAGAGAAGAGGGAAAAAGGAGGGAAGAAGGCAGCAAAAGGAAGAAAGTGGGGAGAGTAAGAGGAAGGCACTTTGGGAGGCCAAGGTGGGCAGATCTCTTGAGGTCAGGAGTTCAAGACCAGCCTGGCCAACATGGCGAAACCCTGTCTCTACTAAAAATACAAAAATTAGCCAGGTGTGGTCATTCACACTTGTAATCCCAGCTACTCAGGAAGCTGAGGTGGGAGAATCGCTTGAACCCAGACGGCAGAGGAAGCAGTGAGCCACGATCACACCACTGCATGAGACTTTGTCTTGGAAAAAAAAAATTAATAAATAAAAGGAGGGGAAAAGAAAGAGGAGGAGTGAGATAGTGAGGCAGAGAGGGAATAAATCTCCAAAACAAATAAAGCAACATATTTAAGATCACTAAACCTGGTTAGAGATTACATGGTGTCTGCTCTGTTATTTTTCTGTACCTTTCAGTAGGTTTGAAATATTCATAACTAAAAGATTTTAAAATGTATCATTAACTGGCAAAAAATCACCATAATCATTTCAAACAATCTTTTATGAGATGCTTAATGAAATTCTTGCAGATGGCATGGGCATGTTCACAAACTCTCAAAGCATAAATATGGAACACAATTATCTGAAGTTCCATTTCCAAAACACTCACATATTTCACTCATGACTCTAAGATGGTCATAACATTAAAGCAAAACTCAATGAAAAGCTAAAAGCAATTTTGCCTTTTGGCAAAGTTTTAAATATTAATTAGTGGTCTTAGAGGCAAACCAAAGCTTAACAGGAAACCACATTGAATTCCAAGTTTCCACTCATGATGCCATATTGTTTTAAAGGAAGGTTTGTCCACTTTGGTACTAGTGACATTTTGAGCTAATTCTTTATTGGAGGGGCTGTCCTGTGCACTATGGGATGTTCAACAGCATCCTGGTCTCTACCCACCAGATGCCAGTAGCACCACGTTCTTCCCAAGTCATGACCACCAAAAATGTCTCCGGACATTGCCAGATGTACCTTGCGGGGACAAAATTGCTTCTGATTGAGAATGATGATTATAGAGGATATGGCCAACTATCTACCAGTGAGTTGATCTGTCACTTGCTGATTTCACAGAAGACTGATGTTTATCCCAACATTTTTAAATTACTCTATGGTTTTCTTCAGCTCAGAGTATTCAGTAATTAAATAGCACCAATTTTTAGTTTTTTTCCCTAACCTTAAAAAAATAAATAAATTTAGCATATCTTACCGGAAATCTGAGTGCATCAGTGACTTTGTTTGTTGCCTCAAAAATTATATCTAACCAGAAGTTCAGCTGCTCTTGCCTGGGCGAGTGTTCGATATTAGGTTTCTTGAAGCGCTGAATTAATAACAAGTTCTGAACTAATGATCGCAGGTACCTGGAAAAATCATGAACAGCAATATATTGGATTCCTAAGGAAATGGAATTCAATTCAACTCCCTTTAAAGGGAGCTTTCCAAAAGCTTTTATTCTCTTAAATTCATATTATGTCATGAGTGCTTCATAAACGATTGCTCAGCAGCCACAAAACTAATTAAGAAAAACCCAAGCAGTAGATAAAGTAAGTCCATCCAACAAAATGACATGACGTGGCTTTTCACCAACATGGGCTAAACCTCAATTTGGGTACCTACTGTCTAAAATATGGAGATTGGAAAGCATGTGATAACTGACTCTCAAACGACAAAGGTATGAACCGTGCAGGTGCACTTTTACACTGATTTTTTTCCACAATAAATACATTGGAAATGTTCTGGAGATTTGCAACAATTTGAAAAACTTTGTAGATGAACTGTGTAGCCTAGAGATATCAAAAAAATCAAAAAGTTAGGTATGCCATGAATGCATAAAATGTATGTGGATACTGGTCTATTTTATCATTTTCTACCCAAAATATCTACAAATCTCTTATAAAAAGTTAAAATGTACCAAAACGGACACACACAAACACGGACTGTATATGGCACCATTCCCAGTCGAGAGAATATAAACAAATGTAAAGATGTGGTATTAATTCAAGACTGCATAAAATTAACTGTAGTGCATACTGAGCTACTGTAAAAATCTCGTAGCCACCTCCTGTTGCTATTGTGGTGAGCTCGTGTTGTATCTGCTTAAAATTCCACCATGTGGTGGGGTGCAGTGACTCATGCCTGTAATCCCAGCACTTTGGGAGGCCAAGGTGGGCAGATCACCTGAGATCAGGAGTTCAAGACCAGCTTGGCCAACATGGCAAAATGCTGTCTCTACTAAAAGAACAAAAATTAGCCGATGCAGTGGCAGGCATCTACAGTCTCAACTTGGGAGGCTGAGGCAGGAGGATTGCTTGAAGCTGGGAGGCAGAGGTTGCAGTGAGCTGAGATCGCCCCACTGCACTCCAGCCTGGGCAACAGAGCAAGGAAAAACGAAAACAAAAAACGCCACTGTGTGAAACTGATCATTTTTGCATGAGCAGTTCACCTCTCCGGTAAACTACAGCTCACAGTAAAGTGATCACTCATGGTCCTCACGCATTCTTCATTGTATTTAGTGCAGTACCATAAACCTTGAATAATAACACCATAGGACGCATAAAAAGTGCCACTAGTGATATTGGAAACACTCCCAAGAAAAGTCATGACATTACCAGAAAAAGTCAAATTGCTTGATATGTACTGCAGATTAAGTTCTGCAGTTACGGCTGCTGCCATTTCAACATAAATGAATCCAGCCTAAAAATCGTTGGAAAAACAAAAAAGGAAATCCACACACCATGTCAGTGGTTGTGAAAACCCTGCACTTTTCGCAAAATATAAAATACAAAATATGGTTTAGGTTATTAGTAAGGCTTCCGGTAACAGTAGGCTATAGGCTATTAGTAGTTAAGCTTTCGGTGAATTTTCAACTGAGCCCCCAACCCCCACATTGTTCAAGGGTCAGCTGTAGTTCAAAGATCAAAGCTATTACAAAATGACAAAATTTCAATCTCATATCTTTTTAATTAAACATGTTATTTTGAGGTAATTTTAGATTTACATGAAGTTCTAAGAAACAATATAGAGAGAACCCATGTATCTTTGACAGGTTTACTCCAGTGGTAACAGCTTGGAAAACTATAGTACAATATCACAACCAGATGTTGTCACTGATACAAGGCAAGAGAGAGAAAGTTCCATATCCCCACAGGGACCCCCTGCGTTGCCTTCCCATAGTCATGCCTACTTCCCTCCCATGCAACCCCGCTCCCTAACTCCTGGCAATCGCTAGTCAAACTCACTGTCTTTCATTTTTTTAAAAAAATTAGAATCTGACCAAGTAGATTTTGATGTTACGACATCTTGACTCTGACCATACCTTTGCTCTTTTCAGGCAAATTCAACTTTTTGGAATATAGTTGCCAGGTGGTAGTGATCACATCCTCTTTGGTACCATAAGGATTGGTTCCATTGAAAGCATCATTGTATTATTTTGCTATTTGAGGATAAAAGCTAGAGCTCTCGGCCAGGCGTGGTAGCTGACGCCTGTAAACCAAGCACTTTGGAGGCCAAGGTGGGCGGATCAGCTGAGGTCGGGAGTTCAAGACCAGCCTGACCAACATGGTGAAAAAAGTAAATAAATTTTTGATAAATCTTGATAAAAAGTAAATAAATTTTTTTGTTTTTAAAAAAGAAATAAAAAGAAGAAAAGAAAAGAAAGCTGGAGTTCTCCTGGGAAGACAGACCAGCTAGACTGCAACCTACCTGCTTGGGTACTCAGCAGGTCTGGGTTGTCCAAACTCTACACATTCAAAAGAAAGATCTGGCCCTAGACTGGCTATTGGGAGATCACCTCTAAGCCCTTGGGATATACTGCCAGCTGAGATCGTCTCTGTTTATCTGGGGCTTTGGGCCACGCCAGATAGTTGATGCTAACAATATGATTCATAGTCGGGGCCCTGGGCAACACTGTATCAGTTTGACCTGGGGAGAGGTTGGAGCTAAGGTATTAATATCAGCTGCATAAGGACTCCATGCCCATGTGACCCATCCCCAATAAAAACCCTGGACGTTAAGGCTCAATGAGCTTCCCTGGTTGGCAAGACTTTATGCATGTTGTCACACATTGTTGCTGGGAGAATTAGGCACGTCCATATGACTCCATTGGGAAAGGACTACTGGAAGCTTGTGGTCTCCCCCGGACTCTGCCCTATGTACCTTTCTGCCTTTGCTGATTTTAATCAGTATCCTTTCATTGTAATAAACTGAGAGTATAACAGCTTTTCCGAGTTCTGTGAGTCCTTACAGTAAATCATGAACCTGAGAAGGGTCTTGGGAACCCGTAACAACAGGTAATAACACTGTAAGGCCTATAAGTCAGCCAAGGTGCTGATGTAATGGGATTGTATCCAACCCTGGGGTCTCCACTCCCTGAAGTCGGCTCCATCTGGCCCAGATACCAGCACTGCACTTTAAGATTAGGGCTTTTCAAACAGCAGCCACTCCAGGAGGGCTGGAGGCCCAGCCTAGCTCTGTGTTCTCTCGGCCTCAGATAACTTTCTAGAGGTTTGCATGCCAAATTTAAGTTCCCTCAGATTGGGAAGAAATGGGGTCAAACCAGGTATGACTGAAGAGATTCCAACCCGTGGTAATCCAGACTGACCTGCTGAACTAGGATGCAAGAGACGGCTAATGAAAACAAATCATTAAAAATATGTTTTTTTAAGTTATGTAAATAATCCATATGCATTAAAGAAAAATCAGAAAACAAAGGTTAAAAAAAAACACAGAATAAAAACTCTGTATAGGCTGGGCACAGTGGCTCACGCCTGTAATCCCAGCACTTTGGGAGGCCAAGGCAGGCAGATCACGAGGTCAAGAGATCAAGATCATCCTGGCCAACATGGTGAAACCCCGTCTGTACTAAAAAATACAAAATTTGCTGGGTGTGGTAGCACGTGCCTGCAGTCCCAGCTACTTGGGAGGCTGAGGTGGGAGAATTGCTTGAACTTGGGAGGCACAGAGGTTGCAGTGAGCAAGATCACGCCACTGCACTCCAGCCTGGCACCTGGTGACAGAGCGAGACTCTGTCTCAAAAAAAAAAAAATCAAAAAACAAAAAACTCCTTATAAGGCTATCTCCCTGAGATAACCACTGTCAATATTCTGAAGAAAATAATTTATCATTTATTGATTATACAAATATCTATTGAGCATTTATTATGAGACTACAGCAATCAGTAAGATAACCGCAGTTCTAACAGAGTTTCATGTCTACAGGGAAATCTGATATTGCCCAGCCCTCCCAGGCCTTTCCCTACAAGTCATACACCAAGCATATACTTTTCATTAAAACAAGAATCAGATAGAACAGTGGTTCTCAAAGTGTGGTCATCAGAGCAGCAGCAGCAGCAGCTTGTAACTTGTAAGTGCAAATTCTCAGGCTCCACCCCAGACCTACTGAGCCAGAAATCCTGAGAGTGAGCCCAGCAATCTGTGTTTTATTTCTTTATTTCACCTATTCATTTTTGAGACAGGGTCTCACTGTGTCACCCAGGCTGGATTGCAGTGGTGCGATCACAGCTCTCTGCAGACTTGACCTCCTGGGCTCAAGCGATCCTCCCACCTCTTCCCGAGTAGCTGGAACCACAGGGGTGCGCCACGATACCAGGCTATTTTTGTTGTTGTTGTTGCTGTTGTAGAGACAGGGTCTCACTCTGTTACCCAGACTGGTCTCAAGCTACTGGGTTCAAGCAATCCTCCAACCTCAGCCTCCCAGAGTGCTGGGATTACAGGTATAAGCCACTATGCCCAGCCTATGTTTTAATCAACATAGGTTGATTCTGACACACAATAAAATTTGAGAACCACTGATAGTCAAACCTACCCAGTAACTGGCTGTTCTTATTCTACAACAAACCACAAACACACTTTCACATCTCCAAGTATTTTTTCCTGCATGTTTAAATGGCCGTATAAGGTTGTTGCCGTGCCACTGTTTTATTTACCATACCTTCTTATTGTTCTTTTAGTTCCAGTTTTCATTTGTGATAAACATTTTCTTGGTGTCCTTTTTTCACCTTATTATATGCTTTCTCACAAAATGCATAATACATGCTAGTAAGCAAGAGTGTTTTTCTCTTAAGGACCTAGACAACCTGAAGAAATTAACAGGATATAAAGTCTAATCTCGAGTTTGGAGCAGGCAGGGATATATTCCGTGTGGATCTGTCTTTCCCTCCCTTCACATAAAAGGGAATTCTCAGAGCAGTTGGGTCTGTGCTAACTTTGCTTTAATGAAAAGTCAGAAGGAGAAACACAGTGATCATGACTGTTTTTGCATTTCCACGTTTTTTTCCCTGGGGAAGAGATTTAAGAACAAGGTCATATATTGAGATGATGATGACAACACACAGACGTAACTCACCAGACTGGAGGTTTCAGTTTGAACAACCTCTCTGCTGCCTGGACAGCTTTCCCGACATCACTGGCCAGCATGCTGACGGTGAAGAACTGACCCACATCCCAGTAATTGTTCATTTTCTCCAAGCTCCCTTTTCTTCCCAACAAACTGTTCAGCCGGACACCTTAAGAATTTGTATTTTAGATAGTTAGAAAAATCTTTCTTAGTCTCTGTCATATTGAGGATAAGCTGGCATTTTGTTTTGGCTGTTGTCTCAGGTGTGCTAATGGAAAAGCAACTGATCGCTCCTTTTGAAATATAATGCTAGTAGGTCAGGTGTGGTGGCTCATGCCTGCAATCCCAGCAGTTTGGGAGGCTGAGGCGGGTGGATCACTTGAGGTCAAGAGTTCAAGACTAGCCTGGCCAACATGGTGAAACTCCATCTCTACTAAAAATACAAAAAAAAAAAAAAATAGCTGGGTGTGGTGATGGGCATCTGTAATCCCAGCTACTCAGGAGGCCGAGGCAGGAGAATTGCTTGAACCTGGGAGGTGGAGGTTGCAATGAGCCAAGATCACTCCAGCCTGAGCAACAGAGCGAGACTCTATCTCAAAAAAAAAAAAAAAGAATAGAAATATAATGATATAATGGTAGCTATTTTAACATAATTTTTAATGCCAAACTTGTATAACATCTGCAATAATAAACAGCTTTACCTATTTTCCTTAGTTCCAAGGAAGTTTCAAATTGTTGTCCAGCAACTATCAGCAAAACTGCAAGGTTAATTCCCGAATAGAGAGATGACTGGAGTTCAAACCCTTTGCGATACCTATAATCACAGAACCACCAAAGTCTTATTACAACAAAAAATGTGTAAATGGTATAAACCAACATTCTAATGAAAAGTTTTATTTCTTTAATTTGTTGTTGCCCATTCCCCTCACCTCCCACCACCTTTACAAACAGCCACATGCAACTCTCTAGTACTTTTAAAATGTCATAACAGGCCAGCCATGGTGGCTCATGCCTGTAATCCCAGCACTTTGGGAGGCCGAGGCAGATGAATCACTTGAGGCCAGGAGTTCAAGACCAGCCTGGAAAATATGGTGAAACACCATCTCTATAAAAAAAAAAAATACAAAAATTAGCAGGATGTGGTGGTGTGTGCCTGTAATCCTAGCTATTCAGGAGGCAGAGGCAGGAGAATCTCTTGAACCTGGGAGGAAGAAGCTGCAGTGAGTCAAGATTGTGCCACTGCACTCCAGCATGGGTGACAGAACAAGACTCTATCTCAAAAAAAAAAAGTTTTAATAGCAACACAGTAACTTTCACTAGGGAGTTTTAATTGTTTTTGTTCATAAGATGTTTATCATAAAAGCCTCAATGATTATATAAAATAGGGAAATCATCATGACATACACGAAATTTAAAATCAATTCTAATCCTACTCCCAAAAGATAACCATGATTCGATGTCCAAAGTGCATTGGTATAATAATCATAGCTCACTGCAGCCTCGAACTCCTGGACCTAAGCGATCCTTCCACCTCAGCCTTCCAAGCAACTAGGACTACAGCTATGTGCCATCATGCCCAATTCATCTGTTTTCATTTTTTTAGAGACAGGGTCTCATTCTGTCGCCCAGGCTGGAATGCAGTGGCATGATCATAGCTACAGCCTTGAACCCCTGGGCTCAAGTAATCCTCCCACCTCGGCCTCCTGAGTAGCTGGGATTACAGGCATGAGCCACTGTACCCACCTAAACCTTGTTTCTAAAGCTGGACTCCAATTCTGCACTGAGTATTTTTATTACATTGAAATGGCGTCAATGGTAGGCCACTTCTTTGCAAGTTGTTTGTTTGCTTTAAACAATATGGAGTTGTTTTTTCATGCATGAAGCAGTATTGCCAAAATCCTGGATCCCAAACAACTACAGAAGCAGCGGTACAAAGTGAGGCCAGTGACTGACACAAATGTCTTTAAGTGGCACAGTTTATACCAGACTTGCTAGTAGTAATTTTGTCACTCTGTGACAGCAGGAGAATTCAACAACCACAAAATATTAATTCTTGAAAGGCGAAGTTATCACTGAAGTCGGTTAAAATATGGCTTTATCAGCCGGGCACGGTGGCTCATGCCTGTAATCCAAGCACTTTGGGAGGCCGAAGCGGGCGAATCACGAGGTCAGGAGATCAAGACCATCCTGGTCAACATGGTGAAACCCTGTCTCTACTAAAATACAAAAAATTAGCTGGGCGTGGTGTTGGGTGTCTATAGTCCTAACTACTCAGGAGGCTGAGGCAGGGGAATTGCTTGAACCCGGGCAGCGGACACTGCAGTGAGCTGAGATTGCACCCCTGTACTCTAGCTGGGTGACAGAGCAAGACTTCATCTCAAAAAATATATATGTGGCTTTATCAATTCTGATGCATAATACAAATACCCTCAGACAGACCAGAGGATACCGAGAAAACCCTTCCTACTTTAGTCAACAAAATTTAACCTGTTTTTTTCCCTGTATGTTTTAGGAATTTTAAATTCTACATCCTTCTGGATTTGACTGTTTTATTTTCTTTTACTATGAAAAGTTATACCGAGATGAGGGCAGAGACAGTGGCTTCTCAGAAGTCAAACAGGCCCAACTTAGGGTCAGAGAAGATCTGAAGTCCAGGCAGGACTGTAGTCCCAGATTCGCCACTAACCAGCCCTGTGATCGTGTACCAGCCCCCACCTCCCCAAGCCATACGCTCCATGTCTGCACTGGAGGGTCTGGGTTAGATGATACCCAAGATAGATCTTATCTGCAGCCACCACGCCCTGAGCAGAAGACGAAGCTTCATTTGCTCCTGCACCTACCGCCACTACCTTCTGAAGCTGGTGGAGAAAAACTCCTAGGACTTACTTAAAGGACCAAAGACAATGATTTTTTGACCTGGGGGTTGAACTCCCAACCACTACAGTGCGAACACAGCTTTCTGTTTTGGCTTTCCCAAATGTTAACTTCCCTTCATTACCCCGAGTGACTCCTCTCAACCACACAGTGCATTCGGAAGTACCGGGAATTTAAAACAGAAAATAAGGTCATTATGTTCCAAGAACTTACACTCTGGTGAAAGGGAATAAGAGCTACACATAAGTAGCGACAAGAGAAGCAAGAATGTGGTATCTTAAAATCACACAAATCCAAGTCTAGGGGAACTCACAGAAGACATATAGGGTCATTTCACCTCGAGACTTGAGATATGGCATACAGATAAAGAGAAATGAGGCTGGGCGCAGTGGCTCACGCCTATAAGCCCAGCATTTTGGGAGGCTGAGGTGGGCAGATTGCCTGAGATCAGGAGTTCAAGATCAGTCTGGCCAACATGGTGACATCCCATCTCTACTAAAAATACAAAAAGATTAGCCAGGCGTGGTGTCATGCACCCGTAATCCCAGAAACTCAGGAGGCTGAGGCAGGGGAATTGCTTGAACCAGGGAGGTGGAAGTTGCAGTGAGCTTAGATTGTGCCACTACACTCCAGCCTGGTGACAGAGAGAGACTCCGTCTGAAAGACAGGGAGGGAGGGAGGGAGGGAGGGAGGGAGGGAGGGAGGGAGTGGGGGGGAAACAGCAGTGATTTGGAAAGAGAACTCCCAGCATAGAAAACAGCAGGAACAGACACAGGAGTTTGGAAAACTCCTTAGGAACTTCAGTTTAGTTGGACGCACAGCACACAGTGAGAAACTGGGCTAGAGGCAGATTGGAGAAAGTGTTCAGGACACGTAGAACGGTGATCTGAGAGTCTGAATTTTTATATAATAGGGAGCAGGGAGCCATGGTGGGTTCTTGAGCTTTAGGAAGGGTAAGCTGTAAATCTGTGAAGGAGAGACTGAACAGACAGCAAGCAGAGAGTCTACTTGGGTACTGTTAGAACATTCCAGGCAAGAAAGTAAAAAAAAAAAAAAAAAATGCACTGACTTGGGAAAGGGTTGGCAAGCAGTAAAGGAAACCCTGCAGAAGGGCTGGAAATGGGGCCCGACCAGACGGGGAGGTAATTAATGAAAGGAATAGAACACTGACTGAAAGTTTACAGCTAGGAGGGTAGAGAATAGTAGGAAGGAAGCAAGACATTGGAAGCCATACCTTGGGGAGAAGAGGAAATGACTTCAGCCTTCAAAATGTTGAGTCTGAAATACCAGCATCATCTTGAGGTAGAACAGGTGGGCAAAGGGGGGAGATGTAAGGCCATCACTTAGGATGTTGGGCTGGAGAGCTCCAGCTAAGGGTCCCTAGGTGTGAGAGTGGCTGGGATTGCCAGAGAAGGAAGTGCGGATGGAGAGAAGGCAGGGAGGACAGAGCCTCCTGTGTGTATGAAAGGAAGAGAGAGAGAGAGAAGGAACAGTTAGAATTGAATGAAAGCAGAACCTCAACACCAAGAGCTCTTCTGATGGAAATGAACGACGTGAACCTGTGGGTTCCACCTTCAGAATATACCCTGCATCCAACTTCTTAACATTTTTGTCCCCACCACCTGGACTCAAGCCACCACCAGCTCTCCCCTGAATTACTTCTAGATTCTCCTAACCGTTCCCTGCTTCTGTCCTTGTCCCTGTGATACACTGTTCATGGCCACACATTCCTCCCATTGCAATATGTATGCACCTTTGCAATGTAACTGCTATTCCTCTTATCTGGAGGTGAGGCATATTTCTTCACCCTTTTGAATTTGGGCAAGCCATGTGATTTGCTTTGACCAATAGCATGTGGCAACAGTAACCAGGTGTGAGTTCCTGAGTCTAAGCCTCCAAAGGCTTTGCAGCTCCCTTGCTCACTCTCTTAGAGAGTTCTGCATACCACGTAAGAAAGCTTGTCTACCAGGATTAGAACCACATGAGGGAGAACAGAGGCACACTATCAGGAGCCAACACCAGCTGTCAAACGTGTATGGGGTCATCTGGATCTTCCAGCCAAACCTGACCCTACAGCTGACTTCAATTTTAGAAGTGAGCCCAGAGGAAACCAGCAGAAGAACTGCCTGGCAAAGCCACAGAATCATGAAAAATCATAAATCACTGCTGTTCAAAGCTGCTAAGTTTTGGAGTTATTTGTTATGCAGCAAGCGATAGCTGATACACTCCCTAAAATATATGCTTTTCCTAACAGTGAGTAATCCTGTTGAAATGCATGTCCAGTCATGTCACTCCTCTGCTCAGTACCCTCCACCATTTGATGTGCCTTCTCACTCAGAGCAAGAAGGTCATGCCCCCTTCCTGTTTCATGTTGCTCTCCACCCACCCTTCGCTTACTGCTCACCATCCTTGAGTGTGCCTGGCATGCTTCATCCTCAGAGTCTCTGCCCTTGCTGTTCCCTCTGCCAAGAACACCTTCTCCAATTACCTGTGAAGCTCACTCCCTTATCACTTTGGTACCTTTAGACACCTTCACTGACCACCCTATTTAAAGTTGCAAACTACCCCTCTGAGCCTTCCCTGCTTATCCTTTCCCACAGCCCTCACATGACATCCTACATGTGTCACTTTCTTTGACTTCCCTCATCAGCAATGTAAGGCCCCCAAGGGCAGATTCATGTCTGTTGTGTCTGTAACCCCACTACCTAGAAAAGTTTCTGGCACACAGTAAGCCATCACTGAACATGGTTAAATGAATGAATGAATAATCAAATGAATGAAGAGATCACTGGGAAGCTGATGCCCTGGTGGTGGTGGACAAGGTTCTGGAAGCAGGAGCTGGGAAGGAGTGTGCTGGGCCTCTTTCTTGGCCCATAAACAAGTGTACTTGTGGGAAGAGTGTGACCAGTAGAAACCCTGTTTCTCATAGTTTTCTCTCAAAAAAGGGAATCTGGAAATTCCCAGACCACATTTACTACAGATGTTTGCTCACTGCCAGCAGACAGACATGTACATAGGGAAGAGATGCACATGCTTAGCCTATGCGATTCTGTTTCTTGAACAGATGCATGTGCTGGTAACTCGGGCTGTGGGTTTACCACTCAATGGCGCTGTCTCGGCTGGTGTCATCTTTGCAGTCTGAATCCAAGAAGATGTCCTTGTAGATCCTCCCACACAGGCAGAACATGTCAGGGCCCGGGTGATCACAGCTCTGCAGAACCTGGAGCATGATCTGCAGAGCCTTCTCACGGTCACTCGTGCTGTTTCTCCTGAAAGACAGATGTTTAAGGTCACATATGTCTGAATCAAAACACTGAAATAGTGGCTGGGTGCAGTGGCTCACACTCATAATCCCAGCACTTTGGGAGGCTGAGGCGGGTGATTTGAGGCCCGGAGTTCGAGACCAGCCTGGCCAACATGGTGAAACCCCGTCTCTACTAAAAATATAAAATTAGCCGGGTGGTAGTGGTGTGCACCTGTGATCCCAGCTACTTGGGAGGCTGAGGCAGGAGACTTGCTTGAGCCTAGGAGGTAGAGGTTGCAGTGAGCCAAGATGGTGCCACTGCACTCCAGCCTGGGCAACAGAGTGAAACCCCATCTAAAAAAAAAAGAAAGCAGAATATATATGCATTCATTCTGCTGAAAGACTAGGTGCAAGGATGCTGTACTTTAGCAGAAAAATTAATTCTAAATAATATTTTTCATTTTCCAATGTAGTCATTTCTTAAGATCCACACCAGTAAATCTCATACAATTATACTCAGTCCCCATTTGATCCTATCTCAACAAGTAAATCATAAGGAAATGAAAAAATAAGCAAAGGGGAAACCTGTGTAATAAGACTTAAGAGTCACGTCAACTAAATGCAATGTACAAACTTTGTCTGGATTGTGATTCAAACAAATCCACCAAAAAAAATATGAGGCTGGGTGCAGTGGCTCACACCTGTGATCTCAGCACTTTGGGAGGCCAAGGCGGGCAGATCACTTGAGCTCAGGAGTTCCAGAGCAGCCTGGCCAACACAGTAAAATCCTGTCTCTACAAAAATACAAAAATTGGCCAGGCGTAGTGTCACACACCTATGGTCCCACATACTAGGGAGGCTGCGGCAGAAGAATCACTTGAGCCCAGGAGGCGGAGGTTGCAGTGAGCCAAGATCGTGCCACTGCACTCCAGCCTGGGCAACAGAGTGAGACCCCATCTCAAAAAAAAAAAAAGAGAGAGAGAGACAATTGGGAAAATTTGAGTCCTGACACTGAGAAATCGTTAATTTTTCGATATAATGTAAAACCTGAAAACTGTTCATTTTTAGGTATTATAATGCAATCATGACTATGTTTTATAAGTGTCCTGAACTTTTAAAGAGACACACTTAAATTTCTGGGGATAAAATGGTATGTCTTTGCTTCATAGTAAGTCCAGCACTGGGGTATAAAGGAGTGGGTGGGGCAAAGGGGAAACAAAATTGGCTATACAATGATAATTACCGAAGTGGATATGGGGTAGACGGGGGTTTATTATTGTGATGGTTAATTTTCTGTTTCAGCTTGACTGGGCTAAGGAAGGCCAGAGAGCTAGTAAAACATGATTTCTCAGTGTGTCTGTGAGGGGGTTTCTGGATGAGATTAGCATCTGAATCAACAGTCTGAGTAAAGAAGACCACCCTCACCACCCTCACCCATGTAGGTGGCATCACACAATCCACTGAGGGTACCAAGAGAATAGAAAGAAAGGTCAAGGAAGAGCATGTTTTCTTTCTGTTTCTGAACTGAGAAATTCATTGTCTCCTGGCCTTGGGCATCCGCGTTTCTGGCTCTTGGGCCTTCAGACTTCAGGACTTACCCCAGCAGCATCCCTGTGTCTCAGGCCTTTGGACTCAGACCACGTCATACCACAAGCCTCTAGAGTCACCTGAGCCAATTCTCATAATCCATCTCTTCCTCTAGATCTCTATGCATCCTGTTGGTTTGTTCCTCTGGAGAACCTTGCCTAAGACAATCATACTAGTCCCTACTTTTAAATATATTTGTGATTTGACATAATAAAAACAAAAACATAAAAGGTATCCATCTTGACCCAACAATTCCACTTCCAGAATCTATAGCATGTACATCTTTTTTCAAGAATTTTTTGAACAAAGATGTTTATTAGGCACTGCCTGTAATAGTTAAGGAACTGGAGAGGACTCAGATGTCCATTAACGGAAGAACGGCAAAATATATTTTGCAACAACCAGACTACAGAATAACGTAATCATTATAAAGGGGCAGATCCGCATGTAATTACACAGAGGAACATCCGTGATAGTAACATTTCATGGAAAAAACCTGCTGAACTAAATGAAAAGCATGACTACATTCTTTGAAATAAACAGTATTCACATATGTTTATGTACATAGACAAAAGTCTGTAAGGATACATATTGAAATGTTCAGAAAATCACTGCTGGGATTTATACAAGGTGGTCCTAGGTATATTTTATTAATAAACATTCTAATAAATAAATTATTCTTTTTAATTTTGTGGTTATTTTACAATAGGCTGTTTTTATTTTTGGAGATAGAGTCTTGCTCTGTTACCCAGCCTGGAGTGCAGCGGCATGATCTCGGCTCACTACAACCTCTACTTCCCAGGTTCAAGCAATTCTCCCACCTCAGCCTCCCGAGTAGCTGGGATTGCAGATGCATGCCACCACACTCGGCTAATTTTTGAATTTTTTTTTTTTTTTTGAGAAACAGGGTTTCACCATGTTGGCCAGGCTGGTCTCAAACTCGCAACCTCAGGTGATCCGCCTGCCTCCCAAAGTGCTGGGATTATAGGCGTGAGTCACCATGCCTGGCCACAACAGGCTCCTTTCATGTTTTCTTTCCTGAGGACATGCACCTCAAAAACTACTGCAACATCCAAGATGTCAGATTAGTACCTAAAACAGCCAGTCTTTCTCAACTGGGGTTCCATGACAGGATTAATCCCTGGAAAAAAGTTATTTGATTATTTGAGTGACTATGTTTTTAGTGCTCCCAAGGATGGGATGTAGCCAGCCTCACTGGATGCAGAAGAGAAATTCAATCATTTCATACAAGGGATGCCAGCGGGCATTAGGGCTTAATTCTCTTGTGGAACACAACCTGGTTTGAAAAGGGCTAATCTAGACACTTGGCGACCTTCTGGAAACCTGTAATAATTCAGCCTGTATTTTGACTCGGACTTTTCCCATTTTCTACCTTGATCCTGTTCTAACATATTTGATCTTTCCTCTCTTTGTCATATAGAATCCTACTGAACTAACCTGCAAACCAGATCTCTTGTTGCACAGCCATCCTATAATATTCTTTAATTTGTAAGAGCCAACAGACACCAACTCAAATTTACTAGAGCATTTACATAATTTCTAATGTCTGTGGCAAGAATACAAAAAAGATTGAAACTTTAATGGGCACAACATTTCTACATCTGTAATTAGCCAACTTTGGAGGTGTAAAATATTCATGATTCTGAAAAGAACGTACTAAACTCAATAAACTCACTGAAATGCCTTTTTTCTTTTGAGACAGGGCTTTGTTGCCCAGGCTGGAGTTCAGTGGTATAATTTTAGCTCACTACAGCCTCGACCTCCCAGGTCCACCCCACCCACCCCAGCCTCCCGAGTAGCTGTGACTACAGGCACGTACTACCACGCCCGGCAAATTCACGTATTTTTTTGTAGAGAGGGCTTTCACCATGTTGCCCAAGCTAACGCTTAGTTACTGATATGAGTTCAGGTTTGTTTGGATTTTAGTTTTTTGGACCAGTTACATCAAGATTTTTCTTGAATTTTCTCATTAACTTGAAAGTTACCCTTGTTACTCAAAACAAAAATCAAACATTTGAAAAAATTAAAAGCAAAGAGATTGTCAGCTTAACAGCCATTTTAAGACAGGTGTTAAATAGCTAATCCCTTTAGTGGCTAATAATCAGCTTTTGGATCTGCTTATCATTTTCAGATCCCAAGGTATCCAAGAACAAGCCTAGAGATAAAAACTCCTATGTTGAATGGGTCAGCAACACCTGTTTCTGGCAATTAAGGCCATTTCACAATTGAGAAGGAAACTTTGACAGTGGGTCTGAACCTCGGCTACATAACAGAATCACCTGGGAGGCTGGGTGTGGTGGCTCACGCCTATAATCCCAGCACTCTGGGAGGCCAAGGGGGGCAGATCACCTGAGGTCAGGAATTCGAGACCAGCCTGGCCAACATGGTGAAACCCCATCTCCACTAAAAAAAAATTTCAAAAATTAGTTGAGTGTGGTGACAGGTGCCTATAATCCCAGCTACTCAGGAGGCTGAAGCAGAAGAATCACTTGAACCCGGGATGCGAAGGTTGCAGTGAGCCAAAATAGTGCCACTGCACTCCAGCCTGGGTGACAGAGTGATACTTTGTCTCAAAAAACAAAACAAACAAAAGTAGAATCACCTGGGAGCTTAAATCCGAATCTCTGGAGATGAGACCCAGACATCAGTGCTTCTCATGCTGGACTTTGAGTCAGTGGGTTGGCATCATTGCTAAATCCACCGCTCCCTTCTCACTCCTTGTCCTATTTCACATACATGTGCATTTCACAAACATGCACTCCTTCCTCCCTGGACTACTTCTGTCATTTGATTTGCTGGATAGCACACTTGCCTGATTTTCTCCTACTTTAGTCCATCTCTGATTTTTTCACATTGCAGTGTCACTTGGCACTACCCTTGGGCATTTAGTCTTTCTTGGTAACTACCCTAGATCCCTTGATATCATCCATTGCCATAACTTTTCAAACCATCTATATTCTGATGACTTCCAAATTTCTATCTCTAGCCCAGGCCTCTCCCCTAAACTCCACACTCACATATCCAACTGGCTTCTCAGTATCTCGTTTGTATGTTAATACCTCAAACTTAATGTGTCCCAAATCAAACTTTTTTTTTTCCCTGAGACAGTCTCACTCTGTCACCCAGGCTAGAGTGCAGTGGTACATTCTCAGCTCACTGCAACCTCTAACTCATGGACTGAAACGATTCTTATGCCTCAGCCTCCCAAGTAGCTGAGATTACAGGCATGCACCACCATGCTGAGCTAATTTTTGCACTTTTAGTAGAGACAGGGTTTAGCCACAATGATCAGGGTGGTCTTGAACTCCTGGCCTCAAGTGATCTGTCCACCTTGGCCTCCTAAAGTGCTGGGATTACAGGCATGCACCACCGCACCCATCCCCAAGTCAAATTCTTGATTGTCCCATCAAGCCGGTT